TTGATAGAATATAGTATTGCCATAAGTATGACATAAGCATACCAAGTTAGAATTTCAATTTAAAGCTTTCGTAACTGCAGGGATTCATCTTCTGGGTTCTTTCGGTAAAGTCACGTAGAATGGAGATAAAATAATAAAAATAATAATAAAATTCTCACGACGTTTCGGCCACAACACAAGTAACCTTCCTCAGGTGAAGAAACAGGACTGTCCGGAAGACAGCGCTTGAATGAACCCTGCCAAGCATGGGCAGCGTCTTTTAAGCTGTGTGGGAGGAACAGAGCGCCTTGACAAAGGAGTTTACATATAAATTAGCATGTAACTGGGGGATTAGCATGATGTTGGTGTCGGAACAGAGGAGGGGGGAGAGGAGTTTACATATAAATTAGCATGTAACTGCGGGATTAGCACCACGGAGAGCGACGAGTTTTGTTCAGACGGACGAGTCCATCTATGTTCAGGACGGAGGAGGGGGGAGAGGAGTTTACATATCAACAGTAAATTAGCATGTAACTGGGGGATTAGCATGATGTTGGTGTGAGGGATAAGCACCACGGAGAGCGACGAGCTTTGTTCAGACGGACGAGTACATCTACGTTCGGAACGGAGGAGGGGGGAGAGGAGTTTACATATAAATTATATATTTTAGCAAACGTACATGCTTATTTATATTTACATATAAATTATCATGTAAGTTTGCAGTCGATACCACATTGGGAAGTGGGTAAAAATTGAGTTACAAGATTTGAGGATACAACGACAACAACAACAGTGAGTTAAATAAAAGCGTGTGATAATAAAAGAGAATAACAAATCTTCACCTGAGGACGGCTGCTTGCGTTGTGGCCGGAACGTCGTGAGAATTTTATTTCATTATGTTTTACTTTTATTATTTCCCTTCTACGTGACTTTACCGAAAGAACCAAGAAGATGAATGCCTGCAGTCACGAAAGCTTTAAATCGAACGTACACAACCCGTCATCCGGCACAGCCTTCGTCTGGGAGTGCGTAATTGTATTTTGTTGTTTCTCTTCAACGTGACTTTACCGAAAAAACTAAGAATATGAATTACTGCAGTCACGAAAGCTTTAAATCAAAATTTGTAGCAGCATTGTTTCAAGACGAGAAAACGGGACTGTTCGTATGTACACGTGTGTTGAACTTCTTTCGCACCGTACGTAGCCAACCGTGCTAATCGGAGGTGCGGGGGGAAGGATAACAAAACTCAACACAAACACGCAGTTCTAAATAAATTGGTTTTAAATCTACGTGATTTGAGAGTGCACAGCTCTCCCGGTGGATTCTTTTGACGTCAGCAGTCAAGCTTTTAAGGGTCGGAGACAGTCAGGGTTGGGGTGGTGGGTGGAGCGGAGATAAAGTGGTGGGGGGGGGGGGATTTAACATTCTGGGGTTTGTGTCTGAACATAACCGTGGTCATGTATGGAGGTTTTGTGATCGTGCTTTTCAGATAATGATTTTTATGATTTGTTACGTGTAAATCATGCATTTTATTAGCGCCATCGACACGATTATCTTTGCAAAAAGGGCATCTCTATTTAAAACCTGATTGGGAGACTATTTTGTGGGCATGGTCTAGCGGTGTGAAAAGCTCTCAGTAAAGCATTACAATCTTATATATGGAGTGGTACCTCGTTGGCAGTGATGCACAAACACAGATAAACACATTCGTCAATAGCCACGCCGAAAAGAAAATTACTTAACAGGTGAGGGTTTGGGCAGTGGCACTTTTTGCCCACTTCTTCATGATCCGAAGTCTTTCTCTTCTTTGGGACAGCATTGTGAACGAATGTGTTGAGTTTTTTGTCAATGAGGTGAAAATGCTCAATAAATTCAGAGCAAGTGAGTCGGTGTCTCTGGGATGTTGTTTCGAAGCTTGGGGTCACATTCCAATCTCAAACCAAGTTCTCATTTATACGAACATTGACAGCTCCCTGCTTTTTGTCATTAACACCGCCTTGCAACGGAGGAAAAAAAACATTTGTTTTGCGCAACATTTTCAGCAATGGCCTATTTATCACAGCAAGGGAGGACAGCCGCGTATAACTGAACTAAAGTTGGAGACTGCAATTTCAAATTGTGCACGGTTTCTTGAAGAAAAACTGAACTCTGAAGGAAGTTTACAGTTTTGAATATTCAATGTTTCCCCCCTCCTCCACCACTGCCTGTCTGCTCGCTTATGCTGTGGGGATAAGTGGGGAGGGTGCGTCGGGGTAGAGGCCCTGGATCTGGGAGCACAGAGGGGAGCTGAGTGGGTGTATTGAGGGCTGGAAAGACATTCTGTGTTAAAATGGCTTCATGAGATCGGGTCCTCCCTGCCTCGTATCCGATTCCCACGGGTATCAAACTAACACTTTTTCATTTCACCAGGTAAGGCCCACAAAGCTATGTAACTATTTTTCAGAGTAAGGCCCACTAGGCTATATAGCTCTTTTTCAGAAGAGACCTGGCCACAAATGATAGCTCACCGAAGTGGCTTATCTTGCGGAAATTAATAGCAGCCAACTACTCTCAACTCATGTTGATTCTAAATGTAGAGGGGGAAAAAACCGAGGTCCCGGACAAAAATCCTCGCCACCACGAGGAGGACAAGCAAACTCCCTCCTCCCACGCAACCTCCCTCCCATCTCCTCTCTCTTTCCCCTCCCATCTCCCTCCCCTTCTATCTCCTCCCCCCCTCCCATCTCTCTCTTTCCCCTCCCATCTCCCTCCTCCCATCCTACCTATCCTCCCATCTCCCTCCCCTTCTATCTCCTCTCCCCTCCCATCTACCCCCTCCCATCTCCCTCCTCCCATCCTACGTCTCCTCCCATCTCAACCTCCTTCAATCTCCTTCCCCCCCCCCCCCCCTATCAATACCCGCCATTCGCTAACAACAATAAATGCAATTGATTGATCCAATGTGTTCTGTCTCCCATTTTTTCTGAGAGGTTATCTCCATTGTTCGATTCTGGGGGAAATCCAGCGGACAATAACGTCTCAGTCAGATATGCGTCGCCACGTAAAACAAAAAGAATAACAACACATCTTACACAACCCATCATCCGGCACAGCAAATTATACACTCCCGGAAGCATATCTCCCTGCTCCAATTCTACCTCCCCTCCCAGCTCCTCAGCCTCCCCCATCTCCTTCCTCCCACTCTACCAATACCAATAGCCACCCTCCTATCTCCTATCTCCCCTCCTCCTCTCATCTCCCTCCTACTCTCTCCTCTCTTTTTTTTTACATTCGCACGGCTTCTGTATTCAGGCATTAACATATGAAAGCATCGCAACGCTTTGTAACTTATGAAGGCATTTCGATAAGATGCCTTTTAATGCGCCGCACTCTTATACACAACGAATCCACGTGGAGCCTTCTGATTCCGTTGGGGGCAAACGCTGTTAGCGAGCGCCTATTATTCCTGAAATTTCATTCGTTATTTTTTTTTCCGCTAGAGGGCGGATTTGGGTTTCCCTTGCACATGCGAAGCGCAGTGTAACGAGAATAATGACGATTAACCGAAACGCCTGGCGACAAACCGAGCGTACATGCGAGGGAGCAACACTCTATCCCATACTGCTAGGTGTAGTGCATATCGCTGTACCGTTGAATTGAAGTTCAAAAGAGCTCACAAACCGTAGAAAGAACCAACGCAGAAGATCCCCCGCGGGATGGGGAGGGGGGGGGAGGTGATCACTCCACGAAAGCTGCTCACGGTCCACCCCTAACCCGCGATCAACCGCACAAACCCCGATACGCAAAATGGAAAGTTAAAAAACTCCACCGGCGGCTGTGCTGCTCCTCTCTCCTCCCTCCTCCTCCAATCCCCTCCTCCTCTTCCTATCCCTTCCTACTCCTAAATTTTGACTTAAAACTTTCGTGACTGCAGGAATTCATATTTTTGGCTCTTTCGGTAAAGTTACGTAGGTAGAAAATAAAAAAAAACAATGAATTTTGTTTTGATTACTACTATCCTTTCCTCCTATCCCCTCCTCCTCCCTCTTTTTTTTTAACTACGACAAGTGCTGCACCTGCACGCAGCCCTTCCCACAGTAAAACGGCCTCCGACGGGTAGCTTAGATCTGCATGCAGAGCTCTCCGTCATCTGCCACCGAGCACACGGCCTCCTCTAGTGCCCACTGCTCCTTGAAGGCCGGCACGGCGTGGGTCAGCCGCGCGTAGCGGAACTCCAGCCCACACCCTGGCTCCGACCAGAGCGCGGGAGATGCCCAGGCTGCTGGCTGGACGTTGCCCCTCCAGGGCCACCTTCCTCGCCCTGTATATGGCGAGCTTGGCGTGGCCGAAGAGCACGTGGACCGGCCCCTGAAGATGTTGGGGTCCGTCGCCCTTCGGGTATCCAAAGATGAGGACCGTCGGGGAGAAGTGGAGGCTGAACCTTAGGAGGATGTTTCTCAGGACCTTGAACAGCGAGTCCAGGCTCTTGCACTCCACGTATTGGTGCGCCACCGTCTCCACTTTACCGCAGAACCGACACTCCGGGGACGTGTCGGTGAAGCGCGCCGGGGAGGCGTTGGTGGTGACGGTGCCGTGGGCGATGCTCCAGCTGAGGTCGCCGATGCGGTTGTACGTCGGTCTGCAGTAGAATTGCCTCCAGCGAGGCCTCTCTGGCGAGATGCAGGGCAGGGCTCTCCTCCAGGCATGGTCCTTGTGGCTCCTCAGGGTGTCCTGTTGGTGGAACCGCACCATGTAAGAGTAGAGCACCTTCCTCTTGACATTTGCGAAGGCCACCTCCGGCAGGTCTTCCAGCTATCCCTTCCTCCTCCTATCCCCTCCTCCTACCTCTTCCCTTCCTCCTCCTCCTCCTATCCCCTCCCTCTTATCCCCGCCTCCCCCTACTCCCTCCCTCCCCTCCCCTCTCCTCCCCCTACCCCCTCCCTCCCTCCTCTCTCCTCCCCCTACCCCTCCCCTCCCTCCTCTCTCCTCCCCCTACCCCCTCCCCCTACTCCTCCCCTCCCTCCTCTCTCCTCCCCCTACCCCTCCCTCCCCTCTCCTCTCTCCGCCTCCCCGGGTCCCGCGGGCTTCACGGCGGGCGGCGCGACCAGGCCTCGCTCCCTGGGCGACCGACGCAAGGCGAAAAAGAAAGGGCCCTAGCACCACCACCACCACCAACAACAACAACAACAACCACCACCACAACAACAACAATCACAACAACAACAACAACATCATCCTCGACATCTTCACGTCGCTCTCGCCATGGAAGTTGCGGGAAGGAAACGGAAGCGAAAGTCTCCCAGTTCCAAACTTCGCAAAAGCAATGGTAAAACGTTACACGGGCGGCGGCGATGGTTTCATAGGGGAGCGTTAAACCATTAAATAAATACACAAGGGGGACTATAAACCACCCTGTCGTACGCCTTTAACCGAGTTGACGTTCGCTCGGCTATTTGTTGAATCGACGCAAAGGGAAAGTTTGCTCGTCGATAGTTTTGTTTTGCTCGTGGTGGTGGTGGTGGTGGCGATGATGATGATGGTGGTGATGGTGATTGTGGGTGGTGGTGGTGGTGGCGATGAGACTAGTCGAGACGGGGTCGCGGCGTTTGCTAATCCCACAGGCCCCTCGCAACCGGGAGACACGACGCCTCGTCGCAATCAGCGGGCTTATTCGCACGTTGCTAACGAGAGCGAGCGAGCGAGAGAGAGAGAGGGGAAGAAACACAGGAAAACGAGACGTGTTTTATTTTATAACGCCAAAAAAAAACTCAATTCGTGTGTGTTGAACGCCGCGGGTTGGGGGGGAGGGTTGTTGTTTTGCGTGGGTACAGTGCAAGATGTAGTGTACAGTGCGGTCGACGGGCATTGCGCGTGTGAAGCGTTTGGCTTTCGGTGACTGCGTGAAATGTTTGAGCGATGGGATGGTGGTGGTGGTGTTGATGGTGTTGGTGTTGATGGTGGTGGTGTTGGTGGTGGTGTTGTTGGTAGTGTTGGTGGTGGTTTTGTTGTTGGTGGTGGTGTTGTTGTTGGTGGTGTTGGTGGTGGTGTTGTTGGTGGTGGTGTTGTTGTTGGTGGTGTTGGTGGTGGTGTTGATGGTGTTGGTGGTGTTGTTGGTGATGTTGGTGGTGGTGTTGTTGTTGTTGGTGGTGGTGTTGTTGGTGATGTTGGTGGTGGTGGTGTTGTTGGTGATGTTGGTGGTGGTGTTGTTGGTGATGTTGGTGGTGGTGGTGGTGTTGTTGTTGGTGGTGGTGGTGTTGTTGGTGGTGGTGGTGTTGATGGTGGTGGTGTTGTCACGGCTAGTGTGAGATATCCTTTTCGTTGTTGTAAAGGTGAACTTTTATTACCGTGTGCTTGTTGTTCTGCCTGCTGCAACCCCGTCTTTAGTTTCTTGGGTTGTTGTCGTGTGCGTACCGTGGTCAACCCGTATTCGTGTACAGGGAAAGATATAACATTGTTTGTGTTTCTCCCTTGTGATGATGGGACTTTTGTAGGATGAACGTTGCGATGTATAAGGGGCACGGGGTGACCAATAAGGTATCTAAATTGAACTGTTATTAGGTAGGGCACTGATAAGGTATGAGTGTGTGTGTGGGGGGTTTTGGCTGTGCCCCGTGCCTCTTTGTTGTTGATGATGGCTTTTGTGTGTGTGTGTGGAGTGTTTTTAATAGTGGTAATTGTGTATCTCCCCACCCCACACACCCCCTGTAAGATATTCTCTTTCCACATCAACCATTTTACCACACTGGTTTTGGTTTCCGCAGACCATCGGAGTCGTCTCGTTTAAGAAGAACAAACTGTAATTGGGTGCCAGTGTGTAAAAGTCAGTAATTTCCCTGGTCAAATGGAGCATCTGAGACGGTGGTAAATTTCCGGTTTACAGCCCTAAGCCAGTGTTGATATTTCCTCTCGATGTTAAATACTCTGGAGTAAAACGTTGAACTTGAGCGTGGATGATAATCTGCGATGAGTGCTGTCAAATGCACTCCATAGGTTTGCGTCGGCTCGGACTTGAATCGCACAGGCTCCTTTTGTACAAGATTACTCCCAACTTTAATGCTTGCCATGTGGCCTATAGTGGGCAGTACTGTAAGCAGGTTTCAGACCTATACCTGCATGTATATGAAAACATTTCATTGCTATAACTTGATGTGCCTAACTTTTCTCAGGCAATTCCCAATTCCTCTCGCGTGCGAGGAATTGGGGTCGGGCAGCTTTAAGCAGAAACTGTCATGAAATAGCCTATAAAGCCTCAATTTACGTGTTTATTTTGGTTGGGTGTATAACGGCCTACGGTATATGTGACGCGTACAACCTTTTTCGTTCCCCGCCCCATTGCAGCGTTTGCCGAGGAGAACAGCACTGCCAGCGACTTGGAGTACCCAATGCAGGAGAAGCACGTGGCAGTGAGTAGCGGGGCTACTCGATGTCTCGCACTAGACGAGGCGATGGCCAATGGTTCTGGACGTGTTCACGGTAAGCCGCTCGTGTATCCCTTAACAACACCCGAAAGGTGTGCTCCAGTGTGTTTGTTTCAGCCTGTGCACGCGTGCTCCCCCGTTTTGGTGGGTCTTTCCATAATTTACAGAAAGCGTTGGAAATTAAACGCTTGAGCCAACTCCAGGCAAATGTGCCTCTGAGGTGGCAGGTGTTGAATTGAGATGAGTGGCCACACCACTTGTGGCGAAACGGTGGCGAGATGTCAACTACCTTGCCTGGTATACAGGAGGTTGTGGGTTCGATCCCAACCCTGATGCCTGCTGTATTTGGGGTCAGCGTGTCTCTCTCCCCATGATCGCATGTATTTTTCTCTGGGACCTCTGGTTTATCCCTCCATATTTAGAAACATGCTTTTATAGTATTTGGCTGGTATACATTTCCACGTGATGATAAGCCACTTCGTTGAGCTGTCATTTGTGGCCAGGTCGCTTCTGAAAAAAAGCTGTATAGCTCAAGTGGGCCTTACCTGGTAAAACAAAAAATAGTTTAAAGCTTCGTTTTTTATATGCAAGTGTCCACTGTTGTGGGAAAGTTTGCCATAGCTTCAGCAGCTGAGCGAATATATTTTGGCCATTATTGTATTAGGGAGTTAAAATCAATCCCTGAGACTTAAAATTTCCAAACCTCAATAGTTATCTCCATAATGTGTTTGCGCTTGCCAAGTATTTCCAGTTTGAGTACGCCAAGTCTTTCCCTGTTTGTGCTTCCACTTGTGCATTTTATTTTGTATTCTACAAGATGTAAGTCATGTCACACTTATGCGTTGTTCTTTAATACATCATTCTTCATAAGACCAACACAGGCTCTTAATAATTTCACTGTCTAAGGCTGACTTTTAAGGAAATCCGACTTTTGTATATCATACAAACGTTACTGTGAGTAAGTGCTGTGCTTTTATCCTCCAATGAAAGGCTGCAAAAATATCACAACTTGGTCTCATGCTGGTATGCACGTGAGTGTATGTTGATCTTTCATAATGTAATCAGGCCTGATCTCGAACTATCGCAAATGAGGCCGTTGTGTTCAGTCGAAACACAAATCAGTGTTGCCACATTCTGGTTTCACAGGCACTCCCTACCCATTCGTATAACATAAATTATTTTATGACAAAAATACCAAAACCCTTTAACAGTTCAATATAAAAGAGGCATCGAAAGAGTATAGTTTTAATAAACGTGTTCTATTACTGTCAATTCAAGTTAATATATACTGCAGATAGTGTTAAAGCGAAACTAATTTGTATCATATATTGTACTCTAGCTCACTGGTTTTGAGTACTATTGTATTCTGAATCATGAAATCTATGGTTAGCATTGATTACAGCAACTTGAACAGCGTATTACGTGGCTTTGTCATTAAACACTGATTTCTTGTCTTGAAAGAGATACTGTAATTTGCACATTTTGTAAGATTCACACATTCTCCATTAAGACTTTGTGAATGGTAACGTATAATCATTTTAATACAGCTTATGCAACAAAAAAACAACGTGGAAATAGCAAAATGCTTGTTTAGTTTTTCCTTCAGGTGACGGCACACAGGAAGGCAGCATCAACAATGGAAACAGCCACCATCGCACCATTTCCAGTCAACCTTCTGCCCACCCTTCGAAGGCTGATGCCAGCCAACAACAGAGCAGGGCTGATCAAGACTTGACTGCCATGCCTGGAATTCCTGTTCAGCCTAATCCAAATGACATCAAAACAGAGCCTGAAGAGGACAATCAATCTGGCGTGCTTTGGGAAAACCCAGAAGACAACAATGGCCTTCATCTGTCCACAACAGATGATGTTGAATTTCATCAGTTGTCTATGCTAGAATCGTTGGCAGGCCACTGGAATGATGATGGCAGCAGGAACCAGCACCTAATACCACAGTCCTTCACCAACAGCTCCACCGGCATCGCATCCAGTCCCCGAGAGAACCCAGACAGAGGTGAGCACCACTGCAGTAAATGCACATGGTGGCGAGATGTTAATTACCTCGCCTGGTATACAGGAGGTCGTGGATTCGATCCTGACCACGACGCTATGTATATCTGGATTTTGCATGTTCTCCCCGTGGTTGCGTGGATTATTCTCCGGGTTCTCCGGTTTTTACCTCCACATTTAGAAACATGCATCTAAAGTATTTGTTACTATAAATTTATACATGATAAGCCACTTCGTTGAGTTGTCATTTTTCTCCAGGTCGCTTCTGAAACGGAGCTGTATAGCTCTGGGCCTTGTCTAGTAAAAAAAAATTATAGTTTAGTTTAAAACTTACAAATAAAAAAACGGGCGCTTTTAGTGTTTTGTCGAAAAAAGAGCATGCTCCGTTTTCGCTATAATTCTGCCACTGCAAAAATTAAGCCAATATTCACGAGAGGAAAGAAACTAGATTAACGAAATTGCATGCATTAGCACTGTACCCTGAAAATTAATATTGTCAATTTCACTGCCACTTTGGCCCCACGTTCATGTAGAGGACAGTACCAAAAACATCACGGGGGGGGGGGGGGGGACTCACCTGAAACAGAATGAGCCATGAAATCAGAACATTCGTCAGCTATGTGAAACAAAAAATACGCAAGCACGATACGTCACGTGACTCAGATAGCCTTTGCTTATTTACCGTGTCAAAACCGAACTTAGCGCTGTGGTGGGCACTTACCACGGCCACTTTTTGTCCAAGTGTAAAAAGCGACGAGATGTGGCCCATGCACTTCTGTAGTAGATGCACTTTGTTGACATTTTCTGTCTTGACGGCATAGCCACTGATAAGCAACTTGATGTGTTGTACTTGTGATATTCAATATCGGTGAAACTGCCATGCGCCTTTTAGTTTTTGACATTTCTGCCTTCAGACATTTTATATATCCCTTTTAATACATTGCCCACAATGAATGCCTGTGTTCGGGCTGCAGAAAATTATGACGCACGCAGCCTCAATTTAGGGCTGGAAGAGAAGTGCGTTCCCTGTTTTGTAGCAGGTAGCATTAAATACAGAACGCTTGGCCACAGGAGAGCACATAGACAACAGACAGTAAACACAGCAGATGGACGCATATTGCTTGTAGACATCTTTGTTCAAACGCCTTCAACAAAACTAATCGTCTCTTGAATATGAAAAATATGATAATATGACCACAAACAGCCATTTGCATACAAATGAAAACTGGATTTCAAACCAAGAACGTGGTTTGAAAAACGAAAATCGTCAGGAGGCGCAGCGTGGCTTGGAACACAGAGGAATTGATGCATCGTGAGGAAAACACCATTGTGGCAATGTCGGTGTGTAAATGCTGTGCATTGTGACGTTCCGAGGTCTGGTATGCAGGAGGTCGTGGTTTCTATCCTGACCCTGACGCCTTTATATTTTGGAGTTAGAATGTCTCTCCCCTGTGGTCACGTGGATTTTTCTCTGGGTCCCCTCCAGGTTTTCCTTCGGCAATGAGAAACATACTTATAGAGTTTTTGGCTGCTATACATTTCCACATGATGAGCCACTTCGTTGTGCTATCGTTTGTGGCCAGGTCGCTTCTGAAAGAGATCTATTTAGCTCAAGTGGACCTTACCTGGAAATATATAAATAGTTTAGTTTACGTACTTTTAAGTGCATGTGGTTTGTCTGCTTCTACAGGGCTTGTCATGTTTATTATCCCTGTCTCCACAGAGCCTGTGTGCGATATGCATGACCTCAGCATGCACCGGTGTAAATGTTCATGTGAGCCTCTGCTGCACTCCATTCTGCATGAACTGAAGAGCATCCGCGAGCTCATGCAATCACAGACAGGTGTGTGCTTCCTTGCGGGGTTATGCTTGGTTCATAATACATAACCGTACGTGTGCCTTGATGGCTAGACGGCGGCAGTTTAGATGAAGCTCTCAAAGCTCACGGGGCTTTAAAGGGGGGAGGGGGCATCCCCTTCGTGGGGGAACATTAATGGTGGTCATCGTTTTGTGGAAGACTGCTGCCTGACGTAGAAATTCTGGAATTTTCAGCACTGGCTTCGGCGGCAGCCAACATAGGTGAGCACAATCCCGTAGCTCATCTGAGCATGTAGGCAAACTTGTATTGTAGTATACCAGGTGCGTTTTGTTTTATTAGAACGTGAGTTTCTCTATTGAGCGTAATTTATGTAACGGCATCACGCGGCACTTGTGTGGTCCATAAACACGGAGGTGCATATATATGAAGATGTGAGGGGGGGGGGGACACTATCCACTACAGATAGAAGAGATGGAGATGTTTTTCCCACACTTTCTGTCCTACCTTCTCCTGGCCCGCCAGAGTATGGCATTTCGATGCCCACGGGAAGGGAGTTTCGCAACGTTTGTGCAATCCACCAACCCTAGCCTCGACAGTGCTGGTTTACAGCCCACGTGCCTAGCCACCACAACCCAATGTTATCCTATTTCTATAACTGAAACGGTGTTGCTGCAGTTCACAGATTTACAGATATTTGTGAATGGAGTCACAATTTACACAGAATGTTAAGTCACTGGTGCAATGATCTAGATATAATTAATTCTCACAATGTATTCTTGGAAATGTCAGTGCTTTACTTCTCTGAATATCTTTAGCATACAGTTTAAATTGTAAATAGGTTTTATCATTGCAATGTTTAAAATACTTTGGTATACTTTATTTGTTTTAATATAGCCCACCCCCTTCTGCTATTTCATCATGATTCTAATATGACAAGCCTTCAAGATCAATGGCAGGTTGAACAGTGGCACAGTGATTAGCGTAGTGCAATATGAACCCGGTGACCAGAGTTTGATTCCAAACGACGGCTAACATCAGTGGTGAGTGATAGCTGAATCAAACCTGGGCCCTCCTTTTCACCACTATGCATTTAGCAACGTGGTGAAGTATGGCCAAACAACCCCGCACGATCAAAGGATGCCTTCTTCCAGCAGTTGACTGACAAACTGCCATCCAATTAATTCACATGCGTTATGGCGGTAATTATAAATATATTTCAATGGATACATTAAACGTCTCGGTATTCAATTTTTTACTGATCCGTTCTAGTCATCAACATTGTGATTCTGTTGATTGTGAATCATTCCAGTGTAATATGACGCTGACCTTGCATTGCGCATCTCTGAACTCTGCGCTTCGTACCCACAGCTGCCCACCCAGACGTGTGCAACGCAGCCGTTCAAACAAACGCAACGGCGGACTCCTCCTCCGGCAGGGTCATGTCTGGCCAGCACCTCATCGTCATCTCCGGCGGGCCGGCCCCAAAGCTGGCGGCGACGTTGGCGCCCGGCCTGATGCCCACCCCGGCCTCCTCCACGCAGCTGTGCTCCAGCAGCATGGGCCTGACAAACGGCTCGCCGGGCACGCCGCTGAAAGTGCCGCATGCCAGAATCGCAAGTGCCGTAGGTCACGCACCGCTTCCGGCCGGAAACGGCTCCCGGCCGGCCGCCCTCCAGTGCCGACGGGGCGGCTTTCGAAGTGGGGAGTTGCCCCACCTGCCCAGGCCATGCACCACCGTCACCACTGCCACCACCTTCTCCGCGATCGATTCAGGCCGCCTCGGCGGCAGGGGCCTCCGGCACCAGCCGGCGATCAACAGGGCCGGCTGCCTGGGATTGAACCTGAGTAGACACGGTCAGGTTCAAGTGCTCGGTGTCGACGCTGGCGCTGCCGTCTTCCCGCAGGTGCATGCCGGCGGGCTCGAGCGGGGCGGCGGTCGAATGCCACACGCGGAGCAGGCGCCTCTAGGGCAGGCGCTGCTGGGAGGCGGCGCTCCGGGGACGGCCTGCCGTCTCCCCGACACGCAGTGCCGACAAGCCTCCAGGATTAGGATTGAGAGCGTGAAGACGTTGGTGGTGGCGGCGGCTGCGGGGCCGATGGCGGGACCGGCGGAGTTCATGGCACAGGAAGGCAGGAAGGCCATCCCGGCCGGGAAGCACACGTTCCAAAGCAGGGCCGAGCAGGGCGCAAGCAGAACCATCGATTCGATGGAGCGGCCCGGCCCGAATTCGGCAGGTTTGGCCGCCTCTGCACCTGTATCAACAGTCGGGATTCAAGGTGAGTTAATGTTAAAACTAATTGAATGTCATTGACCGCAAGTGATTGAAATTGCTTAATTTGAAATATAGCTGAAGAGCATTATGAGTTGGCTGGGTGGCTGAGGCAGTCACTTGCTCATGTCCAGAGCATCCATGCCCGCAGTGGCGTGCACCTGTAATTAAGTGCATGAGAGGGGAGGGTGGGTCGTTGGTGAGTCCCGTGGAGATCGTCATGTATATGAAAAACTGGTTACAACGTGGTCTTAGCACAATAGAAAATACTGAGCCAGCACTACTGTCATACTTGGTTCAATTCTAGGCAGTCGCCAATGATTAAACCCAATTGTATGTATGTAGAACTTCTTTCGCGCCGCACGTAGTCAACCTTTCTCATCGGAGGTGCATAGCCAACCGTGCTAATCATAGATTCTCAATTGGAGTGAGTTGATGGTCTCGCTTGGTCATCAGTGACCACAGAAAAACGCTTTTATTGATAAACATGTTTTAGTTCCATTATAAACATCTCTGAAAACATTGTATATTCCTGGCTTCCAAACAGTAGTCACATTGCATCCCATTAGTGGTCAATGTTGCCCATTAGTCGTCATCCGAGATGTGAGATTTGTTAAATGACACTAATAAAGAAAAACAACTTGTCTGGCCTTTCAGCAGACTTGCCGTTATCATGGTAGGGCAGCTGTTAAGGGGAAATATTATTTTCAAAATGTGGTAAAAGCACCGAATTTCGTGGTAGTGTAGTTTACAACACAATGCATCCTTACAGAATGGGAGGCGTTAAAACTTCCCAGGTTCGTAAAAGGGTGTATAGTGCAGCTGTTAAGGTCAAGAGAACATGAGAATCATTAAAGTTGTGATAAAGGCAGTCGCATTTTGCAAAGACAAATACTTTTAATGTGGGAGCCATTGCAATGTTTTGCTTTTTAGAGCAGAAACCTTTCCAAGAAATATGGGACTGTGAACAAAGGTTAAATAATGTGGGTCCATGTTTCGCAAAATCAGTGTTTTTTCCTGTTTATATACTAAACACGGTATTAAAAAATAGCTTTTAACGTGTCTGACCTTTTAAAAAAATCAAATTGACAGCTGAACCTAACTTGCTTAATTTACCCCCCTAGTCCTATGATGTCATACAAAATACAGATTTTTTTTTAATGTTAGAATATCATGGGCCATTGTTTAACCGTGATGATGGCATCATGTTACTAGGCAGACAAAAGTAAATGTTTCGCTTATCAGTCGACATTATTCAACCTTACTTTTGACACTTGTTGCTATTATGACATTTTTCAAACATTCGTAAGACATGCGCTGGCTTTTAGATCTACACAGTGCCGTTATCGGCGTATTCATTGACCAGTGATTGGTTGTTGTTGTTCAGTGGCGTCGGTAGATTAACAACGCTTCGCCTGCACAGCAACAGCAGCTGCAGCACTTTACCCCAACGGCATAGGAGCAAAAAAGTCAAATCCCCCGTATACCCTTAACAGACTGTTGGGCAATTTGCTGTTAGCGATTAGTACCTATGAAAGCCGGAATGGCACACGAGGGGGTGGGTGGCCAGCACCACACCCGGCCGCTTTTATCCACCCAGTAGCGATGTTTACACATCGCACGAGGTACTCATTTGAAACCGAGTTGACCTTCGGGAGACCCAGGACCGATTCAGATAAGCATGACTGCTGTTGCCTGTGAGCGGGAATCGAACTCGGGTCCGCCGCGTTCTTAGCGCAGCTTGCCAATCGCTTCATTACCGCTCCTCTACCTAGAGTGAGGGGCCAACTCACAGTTATCCCCGTTGTTTATTTATAAAACCGAATCCACCGCACAAACCGTGGCAGCAGATGCGGATACCTGATACACGTGTAAAATTCATAACTCTCCAATTGTGTGCCTCTGTGGTCACCCAAAACAGACCGTACAACGTATAATGACACAATGCCGCGATCCACAAATACGAAGGTGACATCACGGCGATACACTCTGCTGCTCCTAACGCGGTTGTCTGGCTTGACCACCTGGATGTGAAATTGTAGTTGTTGGCTCTGCATGTACATCGGCATCCATACAAAAGCTGATGTGCCCCACCTCCCCCCTACATGCGTGTGTGCAGCGGCTTTGTCCCGCGCACCCGTCTTTAACAGAGTACAGGTTTCAGGCTGGCCCGGCGCTGTACACACAACTGAATTACAGCGTGAAGTTCAAACTGCCAGGCCTGGAACCAGCCCAGCCAGTCCGATTTCATGGTCTGGCTACCTCAATAAAACGCCGACTATTATCTGGGTTTGACATCATTGATGACATGGTATCTTTTTCTTGCTCTTGGAAGTAATGTTTGGCAGTCATTGCTTGCAATAATTCTAAGTATCTTAAGTGAGAATGTATAGCTATATCATTCTTAAAATGTACATTTTAGTGGTTTAATGCCTATTTTTTTTCTTTTTGAGGGTGCCACGGTGGCGAGATGTTAACTACCTCGCCTAGTATACAGGCGGTAAAGGGTTCAATCCCGACCCTGACGCCTGTATATTTGGAGTTTGCATGTTCTCCCCATGAACGTGTGGATTTTTCTCCGGGTCCTCCGGTTTTTCCCTTCATCCACATTTAGAAACACGCTTTTAGGTTATTTGGCTGCTTTACATTTCCAAGTGATAAGCCACTTCGTTGAGATATGATTTGTGGCCAGGTTGCTTCTGAAAAAGCCCAGTGGGGCTATCCTGGTATAAAAAAAAAATCGTTTTCAAGTTTTTTTGGTTGTACAGTAAAACCTTGGATTGCGAGTAACTTGGTCTGCGAGTGTTTTGCAAGACGAGCAAAAATTTTAAATAAATATTAATTTGATAAACTAGCGAGGTCTTCCAATACGAGTAATATGTATACGATTTGTCTGCCGAGCGTCACGTGATCACAACTGATATACGAGTGCTTTGATATACGAGTGCTTTGGATTACAAACACGTTTCCGGAACGAATTATGCTTGCAATCCAAGGTTTTACTGTACTTTTTTTACGTTGCTTGGGTTTATATTTGTTTGACAGTTGTGGATACCTTTCTGTTTTTACTTTATAAACATTCACAACTGAATACTTGGGATTTTTTTTTTATCTCCGCTTGAAGTACAACCTTGTCAGCAATGACTGCCAACCTTCTTCTTGGAAGCAATACACAAAGCTACAACGTCACATTTCGATTTAAAGCTTTCGTGACTGCAAGGATTCATCTTCTTTGGTTCTTTCGGTAAAGTCACGTAGAATGAGAATAAAATAATAAATTTATAAAATAAAATAACACAATAAAATTCTCACGACGTTTCGGCCACAACAACTGGAGCGGAGCGCTGTCCTCCAGACAGTCTCGTCCCTTCACCTGATGAAGGCCGCTTGTGTTGTGGCCGAAACGTTGTGAGAATTTTATTGTGTTATTTTATTTTATCAATTTATTATTTTATTCTCATTCTACAACAATCACGTCCGGGTAAATTTGCGGGTTATTGGGATAGCCTGACTACGAAGTCGGGGCCGCCTTTGCTGGAAGTGGCCACCAACCTAGCAAGGACAAGTCAACTGTGACTTCACGCCCGAGTAAATCTCCGTTATTATTCACATTAGCAGTCTTGTGGACATGCCACTTACAACGGGCCGTATGAGGTGCAACGATTAGCACAGTTGGTTACGTACGGTGCGAAAAGAAGTTCATATGGATGCCCCATATTGGAGTTGGCATGAAAAAACCCCACTGTTGGACATCTGTGTCTGGTTTTTGTCATCTGCTTTGTGGGAGCTCTGAGAAAGAGGTATCCGTAAATATTCGTGTCGTTCTTACACAAGTCTATAGGACGGAGATGTGCCGTGTTCCATTTTCAACGTATGCAATAGTTTAGTTTGATGTGTCAAATATTTTAATCGTTTTAAGCCAATTTTTTGTGGTTTCCGTTTAGTGTTGAGAAAATGATGAGAGGAAATATAAAAAAAACTGATGTGGAATATATTGGTGAAAATAGTAGCGGATTGAAATGCAAGTGCTTATATCAGTGTGTTGTACATTTTGTAAGCTACCCAGACTTTCGTGCAGATACATTATTTCATAGCTAGAGGCTCAAAATAAATTAATGGTTTAAAAATTATTTGATGCTGGAGAAAACTAAAGATTACATTTTTTTAAAGAAAACATTCTTAATATTTTATGTATATTTTAATTAATGGTCTCTAGACGACCCGGAGTAGGAAGTCTGCTGAACATGTCATTTGCAACAGCTGTTCTTTATTTGCCATTAGAAAAAAATGACGCCCGCTCTCTGCTTATGAATCATACCTGATGTGTGTGTGTGTGCGCATTGCGGCATCTTGAATTTAAATGTGGGGTTCCAAACGATCGTGGGCGTTATTAATGCACCTCCAACATTCCTATACAACAACATTACTGCACCGTTACGCAGCCGGGCAGATTAACTGGCAAACTATACCACGCTTCAATGTCCAAGCCAAAAAGGTTCATTATTAATTATGTCTTCTTTGCGAATTACATCCCTCCTTAGCTTCACCTCCACCTCTGAATAAATATCTTATCTAAAATAAATGGAAAGATGTTTTTTTCCTCTTTAAGTTCACCTTATGGCTGGGCTATTTAATGCTGGAATCTGTTTAGTTTTGGATCTTTGAAGGAAAAATTTCAATCCCTGAAAGAGCAAATGGTTCCGCTTTATTTTTCGTTGCCATCATGCTTTCATTTAAAGGGAACTTTGGTCCGGATTACGCTGAGCAAAGTGTAATTGCCGCATTGTAATGACTACTTTGGAAAGTTCAAGGGTATAGGTTTGCGCTGGAAATGTTTGTTTATTTTTCCATAGATGGCTCGGTGACAGCACGGGGTTAAATCCCACATTAATTTTTAAGCCATTCAGACTCTTTAAGTGTTTTCACACTTCTTGCTTTTTGATTGGAGGTATTTTGTTTTACCCGTGCTTTGAATTCTAACTAAAATAGAATAATGAGAATTTTGTTTTAATATATTTGGCAAAGTGTTAAATTGGTTGGAGCCAGAAAAAAACTTGTTATTGGAAAGTTACGTGGTCAAATGCCGGTCAGGGGTCGACTTGACCCATGCCACCCCTGTTGTATAGATGAGGAATTTTCACCACTAGCTAAGAGCTGCGAACGGGAAATGAGCACTGCTCATACTTGTTTAATGGCAATGTTTACCTTCGTTGTTGTCATTAACTGGTGCTGGAGTGGTTGGTGCACCGCTGTATGAACCCAGCGACTCAAGTTCGATTTCCCAGCCATAGTTGGCATAGTTGGCATCAGTGGCTGAGCAATATCTGAACCAGTCCTACGCCACCCTTCGTCAACCTGTACTGACCAACGCAGCGAAGTATGGTCAGACAACCCTCATGACTGAGAGGCATGTGGAGGCTTTCATCCAGCAGACGATTGAGGAAGGGCTACAAGTTCGATATTTATTATCTGTTTAGCAATTAACCATTATTTTATTAATTAAAGCCTCAATGAATCACAAAAACTCCTATGTTGTCATTCATTAAGACGTCAGTCGCGAGAGTGGGCAATGGTGTGCTGGTGTTATGTTCTGAATTTTCCATTTGTGAAACATTACCTGCGTATTACTCAGTTGGAATTATACATGGCAACATTCGCCCGCCCCCCCACTGTCAAAAACTTGCAGGACACTCCTTGAACAAAAGGTCATGAGACCCAGTGAGGCTTTCCAAGGTTAACGAGCTTAAATAATTACATAGAAACTACTATTTAAACTATTATTTTACCGGGTAAGGCACACTAGCTATATAGCTCTTTTTTCAGAAATGACTTGGTCACAAATGATAACTCAAAAGACGTGGCTGGTCATATGTAAATTTACTCTTAAATGCATGCTGTTTATAAATGTGGAGGGAAAAACCAGAGGACCCGGATGAAAAAAATACACTCGACCACAGAGAGAGAGAGACACGCAAACTCCAAATATACAGGCGTCAGGGTTGAGATCGAACCCATGACCTGTATACCAGACGAGACAGTTAACCTCTTGCTGCCGGTGCGCCCTTGCCTTGCCTGTATGCGTGTCCCACTTTAGAAAGGAGCAGCCTTGCTTTGGGAAGTCCTGGTAACCCTGCGTTGGAAAACAGCCCGAAAGATGGTGGCCACTTCACCGAAAACTGTTTCTACTCCCTGGGCCACTCGCCGCAGAGTGACTCCACAGATGTACGTACGCACAGCTGCCTGCAGGTGGCCTTCACACCCGTCGACGGTTGGTTGGAATTACTGATTGGAATTACAGAGGGAGAATACGCGGATTGCTGTCAAATAATATAATCTATGTGTGTATGTTGAACTTCTTTCGCACCGTATGAATGCCCATCACATAAAAATGTGATCAACGCAAATAGATCTGCGGAAGCTCAATAATTATAGGGGAAAAAATCGTTCACCGTATTTATCAAATGACCGTCCAATTAGCACGTTTGGCTACATACGGTGCGAAAGAAGTTGAACATACATACCTTGCCTAGAGCCCCCGTGTCTGCCGGCTACGACGCAACACCGCCACAGGAATGCATGCGTACAGCATACCCAAGCAATGGATAATTGCAGGGTTGATCAAAGTTACTCAACTATGTACTCTCCGTAGCCCACCGGGTCATCCACCTCAACCCTTCGCTGACCCCGCTGCTATTTTTTTTGTCGCGCACGTGTTTGCATCCGGTCGGCTGACCCGCAGCTCGCCGTACAGCTGGCCGACGGCTACAACGTCTTCATGGCGCGCTCGCAGCTCGAGGAGATCCTGATGCACTACACTCGCTCGGGCAGCCTGCTCTTCCGCAAGCTGGTGGCCGCCTTCTTCGACGACCACACGCTCGCCAACTCGCTACCCAACGGCAAGCGCAAGCGCGGCTTCAACGACCCCCGCAAGGGCCTGGAGCCCAACATCGTGGCCGCCATCCGAAGTGCGTACACCCCCACGTACACCGCCCTTGACGGGGAGAGAGGGGCGGCAATGGGCATATTTCTCACGGGGGACCCCCCCTCCCCCCCGATGTCTGCTGTCTCCTATCTCCTATATCCTCATCTAGTTTACGTTATATATATATAAAAAAAAAAAATCTGCCTGAGCTAACTTACGTTCCAGGTGTTTTTTTTTTTTTTACACTGATTTAGGTTTGTGCAATGTCGTTAATCGAATAATGATCTTTAAATTTTAAGTAAAAAAGTATTCAAGAGAGCTGTTTCCATAGGCAGTGCACACCAGGAGCGCTGCGATTGGCCGAATAGTGGCGGCCATGATATCGTAAACATCGTTAATCGGAAATGTACCATTAAGCGAAACAATGGAACCCGATGGGATGCAGATCGTTAATCAAAATATTGTTAATCGATGACATCGTAAACCGTGGGACCACTGTATTTTCAGATGTTCTGCCACCAACAGGAGAGAAACTCGTGATACAACTTATATAAAGATTTGAGATAGTCCCAAGACATTTTCCAACGTCTCGGGTGTGATTGCTTCAAATGTTTCTGTTTTGTCCTGTTGAACGCCACTCAGTAATACTCGCTTTAAAGGACGCAAATTTACAATGCAATATAATGGCAACATGTCAAGCACACGGTTCATACTGTTGTCTCATCGTAATTTCATAACAGTAATATAAATGGTCCAACCTTCATATCCCAATTGTCTGTTCTTGGTCATTCTAAAATTTGAACAAATATATTTACCATGCAGTGGCCACCAATGCTTGAGTATTGCTTAAAACGGAATACTCTATACAGACATTGATAGTGCATTGTTTTTTTTCCCACCGTTTTCTTTCTCAGTGGAACACACAGGTGTTAATGGTAATGAGCAAACCCTACCGTGATATATCAGTCCGACAAGAATAGCCGCACCAAACTGCACGCAGAGCGCTTAAATATAGCCGCACTTGTGGACTGCCGGTCGCGATAAATACAGTCATTACCGGCGACACCACAATGCTACGTATAAAAAGTGCTCATTATAAAACTCACACCGTGTATGAACCACACTTGATATTTGTAATCTTCAGCAGATGCTTTTTATATATGTAGTGGATTCAACTGAGTTGCAGACGTAGACTTGGAGGCAACACATTTATTCAAATCCAACACACGGGGAAACTTTCCCCTTAACAGAATAACAACCTATGGTGGTGACCACTAGGCATACTACACTAGTTACAACGTAACTACCTACTACGGACCGGGACCAACAGCTTGGGTCCAGATCCGCGTGTTGGAGACTCGTTGAACGGAGAACATAGACTAAGGTTTCTTCCAGGATGAACAACAACCCTGGTCTCTCTCGGGACCGGGCTTATATTCTCTGGGGCGTGACCGGCTCCGCCCTTGGCCACGACCACCTTCCAGAATCCTCGGGAAGGATCTGGGTCCCCATCACATGACCACCCCTAGCCCCCACTTGGGCCCCTTTGTAGACTTAACTGGTCACGTGTCCTCCCGGGTCAACCAGAGTGCCATGGCCTCGAGTAACCTCATCCTTCGGCCGGCACTCACACACCCTGTCCTGTAGGGTTGGCACTGCACGCCAAGCGTGGTGTCATCCAGCGCTATCAATCAGCGCTCACCGGGCCCCTCTAGGCCCGGTACTACACCCACACCGCTGTGGTATCCGTCATGTCGTTTACTGCATGCCGCGCCTCTCTAGGGCCGGCACTGCACATTGAAATCCCGCGATGTCACTGCATCTATATACTGCTGGATTAATGCTTCTTCACAACATCGCTATCCATCACAGTCCTGCGATGTCACAAATCCATCCCGGTCCACTTGTACGGGCTGATCTTATTGCTCTGTGACCGTGGCGGTCATCTTCTTGGGTGTACCTCCCCTCCTTTGGCTGCTACTCCGTCATTCCTGACCGTCCGCCGTCATCCCTGCTAACGATGTGCCCTGCCCAAAGCCCTCTTTTGATAAGTCACTATGATGTCTTGAGCCTGCGTACGTCCTCTAATCCGTGTTATTTCTTGTTATTTCTAGAAAGCATATCGCCATGCTAGCTTAGAGTTCAACGTTTTGCAATCCATATAATGTTTAGAAACATGCGTTTAGAGCATTTGGCTGCTATACATTTTCACGTGATAAACCACTTCGTTGGGTTATCATTTGTGGCCAGGTCACTTCTGAATAGGAGCTGTATAGCTCAGTGGGCCTTACCTGCTAAAATAAAAAATAGATTAGTTTAGGTAAAATGTTATATCTTATGCTAAATTGATAAAATATACATCATCAAAGTATACTCTGTCCTACATTGCATAAATCCAGGGCATGCAGAACACGAGTGAAAATTGACATCTGAATTTTGGCACTGGAAATGCCTGAGGCCAGCTCATCCCAAAATGAGCACTGGGTGCATTGCATCACCGCTAGCGCTGGAGACATAAATATGGCCATGCATGGTGACCACACGATCCCCATTGTGTGCCTGTGCCATCCTTAATAGGTGATCACTTAATAGCATGAATGTAAAATTATAGAAAGTCCAGTTTGGGACTGTGACGCGACATCTCAGACCGTGCAACATCTTGTGAACGACTGCCCCAATCGGATCATTCAACGGCGATCTGAAAGAAATCCAAGCGGCTACTCCTGAAGCAGTCAAATGGATATCAAATCTCGACATCAATTTGTAAATCTGTTGCTATCCCCAAAAATTCCATACGAAAGAATAAGACTAATAGCACTTTCTATATAAAACGATCAATATTGTATTTGTGTGCTTGTATGTCTATGCTTATTATGCTTTAACTACTGTGTTTGAATTGGCTGGTTGCAGAGGGATCTGGCTGTAGAGCACTTACCTCCAATTAGAAAGTTACTAGTTTAGCATTTTGGTCATAGATTGGCTCAATCTGTCATCCCTTAGGTGACGTTTTGGGCAAAGCCCATCACAGGAATGTAGAGGCCAGAGATGTGTAGCCTCTATGTTCTGGACAGAAGGGCCGTTGCCCGAAACGTTGCCTATTGTCTACCTTTTTCTTTTAAGGTCACTGTGTTTTTGACAAATGTGTTGAGTTTGCAGCAGCATCACCAGCAAATAAGCTGTCCTTTGTGGAAAGTCCACATCAGTAGTCCTGTGGTGACTAGCTCCCACCCACCGTAAATAAAAATGTGAAATTTCCTCTGGTTCAGTGCTGTAAACACAGATGAACGGCAGCACATTTCTCGTTTGAGCAGGGAAAAACAATAGGTTGATTTGACGTCTGTACGTATGTTGAACTTTTTTCGCGCCTCACATAGCCAACCACACTCATCGTAAGCGTGAATTTTAACATTGCGTTGTAAGAGTGCATATTAACATTGTGTTGCATTGCTGAGTTATGCAAAGTCATAATTGTGGTGCTTGTTTGCAGGCTTCACGGAGAGCTACTGCAAGAATAAAAAGATAATGAAGCTACCAGGACCGAAAGATTGGGTGCAACTCTTGCAGGACCAGATAAAGCTGGCTCGTCGTCGCATTCGCAGAGGTGGGCTCACATTGCAGTGGGTTGGGAGTGAGGTGCAATCGTTATCTCTCTGTTCACACACACACACACGCGCACACGCACGTATATATAAAATTTAATTTAGAACACAGGAAGTCCTCACTCAACACGCTGTCACACTAGCGCATTTTCGCTACATTGCAGTTCTTCTATTCGGCAACACTTTTCGCACGACACGGAACGCGCGCACCGTTATAACGCAGTTGCCAAGTGGTCAATGACGAACTACTTTCTTGAGCTGCTCGGCCGAGCTGTGTGATAGAGTACACTAATTACCCTCGTCTCAGGCATTTTTAAAGTGCAAATGTGATTTAGTAGCTTGGTAATTCCTCGCCTAGCGCATTTTTGCTAAACGCAGAACTTTTCAGGAACGCATCTACCGCGATAAACGAGGTGTTTACTGGATACATATGAAATTTTATTTACTGTACCTTTTATTCTGGATGCGTGCGACACATTTATCCTTTACTTCACGAGGCTTTATGCCACCTGATTGGAAGAGAGAACGTTTAGGAAAGGTAGGCTTTCTGTCATGACAATAGCCCATTGATCTGACCTCGTGAATGAATTCTTGTTGGAGAAATAGGTTACTGTGTTTGTCTACAGTTCTCATTGTCTCTCAATCGAATGAATAGCACTCGGGGAGACTTGAATTTTATGTATTTGTGACACCATCAGAGGGGGTGACCCCAAAATGACTGTTTGTGCAGTTTTTCAGCAGAAATTGTTTTTTTTATGAAAATATCCGTGCAGTTATAACAACAAAAATATTTTTCGGAAGCACAGCTTACATGTGTAGTGAGCGACTAAAGAGACACGTCGAGTAGAAGGCTTCTTATTTATTAAAAGCATACTGGGCGATACATTTTGTAACGCAGCTACACATAGGCGATCCTAACACGTAGCCCCATCTCCGACTTCGCTACACAAGCTGTTCGACCAGCGCAGCAACGGCGACGGAGAGAGTCTTCCAGAAGATCAGCCACGTGGTCGGAGACGAAGAGATGACCACGAGCAGCGACGCAGCCAGGAACCAGGACCCGCAACAGCCACGAACCTCTGGTTCGGGGTCCCCCTTATATCTGCCCCGGCGCGGCCAAGCTCCACCCCTGGCCACGCCCCCTTTCCATAACCTTCGAGCTGGTTCCCGGAGCGTCTCGACTTACTCCGCCTTTCACCTTTACCCCAGATACGCCATCCCGGCTAACAATAATAACCAAACACGTGATGCAGAAAAAGTTCCGCCACAGCTGGAGCAATATAACAAACTTTTGTTTCTGAACGATCTGCAATAAAAGGAAAGGATTCAACCAGCAACCCAGGGAGGTAAGAGAAAACAATAGGAACAGAGAGGGGAAGAAGATAAGAAACACATTTCCTTCTTGAAAACAAACAAGCGCAACCCCCTCAATCCCAACCAACGGTGTTATAGAGATTTGAAACATTTGGACCGAGTCCTCAACGCCGGTCCGTCCATGGGAACAATCTCCGCATCCTTGACAGAAGACGTGGGGTCCGCCTGGAACCCCAAAGAAGGTTGTTTCACTCCCAGCTTCCGTCTCAGTCAGCAACTCCGTGCATTCGGCGAGATCACGGGCCTTGTCGGTTAGGGGTTCGGAAGCTGTGGGCGGCACAATACAGTTTTCCTGACGCGCATTCTCCATTGGCGTCTTCCCCGGCTCGTTGGACACAACAGACACCGGCCGTACACAATTTGGAGATGACTTGTCAGTCCGGGGAGCAATATAAGGCTTCAACCGCGACGGATGAACAAACCAACGGCGACAGCCAACTTGTATGCGCACACACGGCGGCCGTTTGACTTCCACCACTTCCACAGGACCCTGCCATGGCCCATACAGTTTAGGGGACGTTCCCAATGGCACTTGCGGGCAGTGCTACCATGCCCGATCCCCTACAGCCCAATGCAACTCATGGTCCCTTTGCCCCGAATTCCGTTTGTTGGCCGCCTGCGCTTTGGCGGTGTTTAATTTCACCGCTTCTCGAGCTGCCGAGACACACTCCTGAGTAATTTCCAAGGGCGCAGGCAATTTAGATATTCCCTTTTTTTTCAGACAACCCCAATTTAATCTCCATACGGAGGTTCACTCTCCCTTCCGTACATGAGGAAGAAAGGCGAAAATCCAGTGGAAGCATGGGGAGCTGTTCTGTACACAGCCAACACTCTCGGAACATGCAGATCCCAATCGGTTTGGGATGTGCTGACTGCCTGACTGAGCATAGACGTGTCAGGGTTCTATGCAGCTGTTCTACCATCCCGTCCGTCTGGGGATGGTACGGGGATGTTCGAATTTTCTTAGTTCCTAGCACATCGCAAACTTCTCGTAGCAGCTTAGAGGCAAACTTGCGCCCCTGATCCGTGAGAAGCTGCTCGGGCGCACCTTTGTCCAACATGTATCCATACACAAACACATCCGCAATAGAGGCTGCCGACTGATCGAGCAGCGGCCAGGCCATGGGCCATTGCGAAAAATATTCAACCCCGACCAAGAGTAACTTGTTCCCGCCTCTGCGTGGCAGGAAGTGGCCCGAGGATGTCGAGTGCGACCAACTCATTGATGCACGAAACCAAGATAGACTGCAATGGAGGCTGTGACTTTCTCAACGGCGGTTTCCTAAGCGCGCATTCCGTGCAACCCTGAATGAAATGGTGCGCACGTCACTCGACATCCCCGGCCAATAATAATCGCGTAGCAACGTTAGTAATGTTTTCTGCACCCCAATGTGTAACAATTTGACCTCGTGCACCCCCTGAGTCGGCTTGATGCTACGTATCAGTAAATAGCGGGACGTGAGCAATCGAAACAATAGAAATGCATTGAAGAAATAAGCTGAAATGAGTGTACATTAAAGAGCAGCAGTACGCACAGGTTCGTTGAGAAGCAGGCTGCAGTCTAGATTATAGACGACTCAATGACATAAGCATTGCTACAGTGGACATAAAAAGCTTGCAATACGGGCAGCAGCTGAAAAAGCAGGATACAGTCGACATGAAAGGCTGCGCACTAAACAATGAACGTGAGTTCTTATCTGCACACAAACATTATGCCAACGTATTTGTTTTATAATAGTAAACAATTAACCTGAGTTTTTATCTGCGCACAAACATAATTATTGTGATATCTGGCAACTTATTAGTTTAATAATAGTAAACAATGAACATGAGTTCTTATCTGCACACAAACATTATTATTGTAATTTTTGCCAACTTATCTGTTTAATAATAGTAAACAATGAACATGAGTTATTAGCGAAAGATTCAATAAAATTGTACTTTACATTGCCGTGGTGAGGCCTAGTCCCGTGCAGAGCCCGTGGCCTCGCTTAGATTGCCCAGCCGGAGAAGGTGAGACATTGGCAGGCCGAAAGTGCCGTTTGTCTGTCCATTTATCCGTCAACAAAATTATGAGAGGCTTGCAGAAGTCCAAAAAGTTATTGAAAGTGGGGGGTAAATAGTTGATCTAAAAGGTTTCTCAAAATTGTTAAACCCCCCCCACCCCTCAAAAAATACTTTTACTCCCGCCTAGACATATTTCCCTAAACACCGTACATACAGTAGAGCGAGTAGTGTCTAGTGACTATAGTAGTATCTGACTCGACAGTAGTATCTGGCTGTACAATAGTATCTACTGACTCTATTGTAGTATCTGCTGATTCTGTAGTTGTAGCTACTGACTGTACAGTAGTATCTACTGAGCCCAGTAGTAGCTACTGACTGTATAGTCGTATATACCGACTCTATAGTAGTAACTACTAACTCTATAGTAGTATCTGCTGACTCTATAGCAGTATCCACTGACTACAGTAGTAACTACTAACTCTATAGCAGTATCTGCTGACAATAGCAGTATCTACTGACTCTATAGTCGTTACTACTGACTGCAGCAGTATATGCTGATTGTAGTGGAATCTACTGACTAGTATTATCTACTGACTATAGTAGTGTCTACAGACTCTTCGGTAGTATCTTCCGACTCTATAGTAGTATCTACAGACTATAGCAGTAACTACTGACTCTGCAGTAGTATCTAATGACTATAGTAGTACTTACTGAATCTGTAGTATTTATTAACTCAATAGTTGTACAGTAAAACCTTGGATTGTGAGCATAATTCGTTCTGGAAACGTGTTTGTAATCCAAAGCACGCGTATATCAAAACGAATTTCCCCGTAAGAAATAATGGAAACTCAGATGATTCGTTCCACAACCCAAAAATATTCATATACAAATGATTAATACAAAATACCTTTTTATATTTTTATTATTTAAATTTAATATAAAGTAATCAAATTTATTAGTTAAATTTCATCGTGGCTGGTGTGAGGGAGACGAGAGAGAGGAGAGGAGGAGGGGCCATTGTTGCAGTACAGTTACTAAAGAACACTCACTACACTTGGACACAAAATGCTTTACGCGCACACACACGTGGTCACAACACTATAGTGAACAGTATACGCTCGCACAGATGTTGACTATACGAGTGAGGCACGCCGACTGAGACCGAGCATGGCAGAGGATTACCCACAATCCCGCAGCGAGAGATAGAGAAGAACCTTCGGCTCAGTTGTGATCACGTGACGCTCGGCAGACAAAGCGTATACGTACTGCTCGTATTGCAAGACCTCGCTCGTTTATCAAGTTAAAATGTATTAAAACATTTTGCTCATCTTGCAAAACACTCGCAGACCAAGTTACTCGCAACCCAAGGTTTTACTGTATCTACTGACTATAGTTATAACTGCAAACTCCATTTTAGTATCTGCTGACTTTATAGGAGTATCTGCAGACTCTGTAGCAGTATCTACTGACTATAGTCATATCTACCGACTCTGCAGCAGTATATACTGAGTATAGTGGTATCTACTGACTGTAATATTATCTACTGACTCTATAGTAGTATATACCGACTCTATAGTAGTAACGACTGACTCTATACTAGTATCCACTGACTATAGCAGTAACTACTAACGCTACAGTAGTATATGCCGACTCTATAGTAGTATCACCAACTCTATAGTCTTAAATACTGACTCTACAGTAGTACCTAATGACTATAGTAGTATCTCCTGAATCTATAGTATCTCCCAACTCTACAGTTTTATCTACCTACTCTATAGTCGTATATACCGACTCTATAGTAGTATCTATCGACTATATAGCAGTTAACTACTAACTTAACAGAGTTCCGTGGTGAGGCCTAGTCCCGTGCAGAGCCCCCAGCCTCACCTAGATTGCCCAGCCGGCCGAGGTGGCACCTTTGCAGGCTGAGACTGGGCTGCTACCCCTGCCCCCCCACCATTCCCCCGCCCGCTCTACAGTAATAGTATCTAAGGGCTATAATAGTAGTATCTACCGACCCTATAGTAGTAAGTGCACACATTGGGGTGGGAGGGGGGAGAAGAGGACATAACACTATAAATAATTTACCGCGGCATTGTGTGTATTTCTTTTGCATTTTTTTAAGCGAATGATAATTCCCCCCTCCCCCCCCCCCACCGAACGCGTGTGTGCGTTGCGAGAGCAACCACGGGTCAGCGTTTCGCGCATGCGCAGATGCGTGCTCTGGCGCCGCCCTGTGCTTATAAAAAGAATACATTGTTAATTTAACGACTTTAAAGTTGACGGATATATAACATACGGATAGCGCTGGCTCACCCCCCGGGCTTATCGTGTGGTATCTGGGTCGTTTTTTACGTAAACCCAACAGTTTGCGAGTTAAATCCGTCGCAATTTGCGTCCACACACAGACAGGCACACAGACAAAAAATACTTTTTTTAGGTAAGATATAACTCTTTGATAACTAAATAGAGAAATTGACAGTTTAAAACATTAAGTGGGGGGAAATGCTATGTTTCTTGATATATGCCTAGAAATATAACTTCAATCTTAAATTCAAGCTTGATTTGGAAGCTTTCCTCACTGCAGGAATTACTCTTTGGTTCTTTCGGTAAAGTCACGTAGAAAGTAAATAAATTAAATAATAGAATACGACGTTTCGATTGCAACGCTAGCAGTCGTCATCAGGTGTAACTAAATTTGAGAGCGAGACAATACACAGACGCGGAGACACACAGACAGACACACAAGCAGAGAGAGACAACACAGAGATACAGAGGGAGACACACAACATAGACACACAGAGACCCAATGCCTCTGTGTCGAGGCCTTAAATAGAGAGAGGGTTGGACAGAGAGAGAGGTGGGTCTGCTGGAGCATCTGCTGGAGCAGAGAAATTAGCATGTCAATGAAAGACCCAACAAGACTGGTACATTTTAGAGAGAGTTGTGTGGAAATCCACCCCGAAGCGACCGAGGGAGAGAAAGAGCGAATGGACCTATGAGAGCCTGGTAAATTTTAGAGAGAGAAATAGGCAGATTAAGTTTTTCCCCTTTTATCTGGCAACAAAACAGGTGTTGTTAAAACACCAAACTGAAACCTTTTACAAGGAATCATGTCTGCATTAACCACAAAACTTGTGATCAAAATGCAAAAAAACACTGATAGCATATGCATTGTCTTTGAAACTGATTGGTCCACACCAGAGACAGATTTCTTTTGAGCCTCGTCTCAAACGCCGTCAATCTTGCACCAAAAACTCTGAATGGGTTTATAAGTGCCCTGGTAAATCATGTGAAGGAGAAGCTTGTCATGGACATAAAGTCTGCGAAGTACTTTGGGACCATGGTCGACAGTGCACCTGACATCGCATACTGACCAGATGTCCTAAGGTATCAGACATGTAAAAATCAACAATAGGAAAGTTGAAGTGAAGGAAGTATTTCTAGGATTTTTCCCTTTAAAGGGGGAAAAAAAGCTGCTGACCTCAGTTCTAACATTCTTAAAAAAGTGGAAAGCGATGGACTGGACATCATGATGTGCCGCGCTCAAGGTTACGATAATGCTGTCACTATGGCTGGAGTCCATGGAGGTGTACAAGCCATTCTTGAGGGAAAGAACAAGAAAGCTATTTTTCATGGATGTGTGGATCATTCGCTTAACTTGTGCGGTTAGCACTTTTGCTGAAAATGCATCGTGTGTGACATTTTTTGGAATTCTTGAGACAATGTTTTATTTTTCTTCTTTGGTTCTTTCGGTAAAGTCACGTAGAATGAGAATAAAATAATAAAATAAAACAATTAAATTCTCTTCTGGACAGTCCTGTTTCTTCACCTGAGGACGGCTACTTGTGCTGTGGCCGAAACGTCGTGAGAATTTCATTTTTTTATTTTATTATTTTATTCTCGTTCTACGTGACTTTACCGAAAGAACCAAAGAAGATGAATCCTTGCAGTCACGAAAGCTTTAAATCGAAATTTAATGTTTTCTTTCTTTGCTGCTTCCACCCAGCGATGGGATGTGTTAATTGACCATACCGGAGTGTCAGTGAAAAGGCTATCAACAACACGCTGGAGTGCTCATCATGCTGCAGTTAAGCCATTTAAAGAAAAGTCCGATAAATTTCGATTTAAAGCTTTCGTGACTGCAAGGATTCATCTTCTTTGGTTCTTTCGGTAAAGTCACCACGTAGAATGAGAATAAAATAATAAATTGTGACTTTACCGAAAGAACCAAAGAAGAAAAGTCCGATAAGTTTGTGGCGGCAATTGAAGCTGTTTGTGATCCACATGGGAATTTGGACACGTGGAGCAGCGCAAGATCTTTTGCCTGCTGTCTGTGATTTCACTTTTCTGTGCTACCTGTACTTCTGGTGTGATGTAGATGAGGAAGTTAATCTTACACAGCAGTACCTGCACACTAAGGTCTTAACTCTCGACAAGGTGGTGACAAAGATCGAGGCGCCAAGACTTTCTGCACAAGGAGCGCAGTCACCTAGCGGAGCGTGCAGTTGAACAAGGGCGCTTTTAAAATCAGACGAATATGGAATTGCAGTAGGGAGAAGAGCCAGGTTCAAGAAGAGGATGGCAGGGGGAGCAGGCAAGCGATGCTGGACTCACTCTGCAAGAAGAAATTAAGAGGGCAATGCTTGAGTGCACTGATCGCGTTCATTCTGAACTCCAGATCAGATCAAGAGCCATGAAGGAAGTAGAGCAGCCATGTTTGAGGCTGTTCAAGCGAAGAGTCTCATATCTGCCACTGAAGAAGAGTTGAAGGTGTCCATTCCAAAATTGTCCACTTTCCATGATGAGGTATCTGAGAGTGAGCTTTTAATAGAAATACCAAGGCCGAGAAGGCACCTAAAAGCAGCAGAGATTTATCTGGAAGAAGCCAAAGATTGGGCAACATTAGACGTTTTGACATTCATAGCTGAATGGGACTTCGTAGAATCTCTCCCAACCCTTTCAATAAGCCTAAAATAATTTCTTACGATCTGTGTTTCTCTGGCATCATGTGAGAGGAGCTTTTCAAAGCTGAAACTTATAAAATAACTTTTTGCGATCTACCATGGGACAGTCAAGGCTTTCCGATCTTGCGATATTATCACTTGAAAGTGAGTTGGCGAGAGGCATTGATTTCGATGAAGTGATTCACAAGTTTGCAGCTTTGAAGGCCAGGAATGTAAAGTTCTGATTTAGTCGAGATGTTCACTAAGTGCTGAAATGCTCGTGTATTTGTTCCTGTTTATTATTTTGGTGTTATTTCATGTATGAGTATATTTCCATATGCATTGGTCTACAACTTATACATTATTTGGGCCATTAATGATTTTGCATACCAAATCCGTTGATGGATTTAATGTAACGGTAAAGTTGAATGTTAAAATTAACAGAATTTTTATGTAGTTGTGAAAAGTCTTTACTTTGAATTCTGTTGTTTTCTTACCGAATTTTCACTTTAACCACATTAAACTATGTAAATGTAAATACATTCAGGCTGTGCATATGATATTGTCATTTAAAGGTGTAATTTAAATTTAGCTATTTGTTTATGTCACTACTATTGCCATTACATTCAGTGATATACGGGTATTACGATTTACGAGTCACAGTACAAAAAACGTTACTAAAGATTCTGTATGGTCTGGTACGGGCGGAGGTCCATGGGGGGGGGTGACACCATGAGTTACCGCACTGGATGACACCAACCCTAGTGACGCTACTGGGGAGGGGTAGTGTAGGGGTAGTGTAGCGGTAGTATAGCGGGTAGTGTAGCGGTTAGCGTACTGCGCTATGAACTTGGCGACCTGAATTCGATTTCCGCTCGTGGCACAGCACACGAGGGAGTCGGTGGCCAGCACCACGCTCGGCCGCCTTTGTCTCCCTAGTGGCGGTGCTTAAACACTGCACCAGATATTCATTTGAAGCTGAGTCGACCTAAGGGAGGCCCAGGACCAGTTCAGATATTCGTCACTGGTGTTGACAGTAAGCAGGAATCACCAACCCGGGTCGCCGGATTCATAGCCCAGCGTGCTCACGGCTGCACTACCACTCCTCACATGACACATTTGAAAAACATTTCTAAATCTATAACATTTACGTTTATGCAATGAACTTCACAAAGGCTACCTGTACCCGCCCCCCCTGCTACTCCCACCATAGCCGAGCTAGTGGACATGAAACCACTGGTTCAGGGCAACCAACGCATATGAGCACTCATTGGTGTGTCAAAGGTACGATGCCCACCATCCACAAATACAAAGGGGAGACATCACGGCGGTACCACTCCACTGCTTCTCCTGATGCGGTTGTCTGACTTGAATGTGGAATTGTAGTCGAGCAAGAGTGCTGTAGGGCGGAGACAGATTGCACCCCCTTGGTTTATTTTAATAATGAAACGATCGCCTTGTGTTTTTCAGTGCCTCCACACAACATGAGGCTGCAGGACTCGGCAGAGGCGTTTGAAGGAGAGAAAGGGAAGTTGGAATGAAGGGAGTCGTCGGCTCTTTAGACCACCCGGCACTGTGAACAAATGTAACACTCGCAGACAATTCACTTTGCAAAAAGAGGGACAACTCTGCTTTCTTACTTTATCGTAAAGAGGTGGCGTTGTGTAATGTTTACAGTTTTTTTTTTATGAGTGTAAACACTGGATGTGAGGTTTGATTTTTAATCGAGAGTTCTTTGTAAATAAACACCAACACAAAAAACTAGCAGAGAGGGGGGGGGGTTTTTTGTTAAGTGTTTTTTTTTTCCAAAGAACCCCGTCGCTTCACCCCCGTCACGCGAAAAGCATTCATTTTATAGACGGCATTGGTCAAACATCCAGCTGCAAACAAAAAATCCTGGAAAATAGAGAGAATCCTGCACTCGTTGATGCTTTCCATTATAAATATATATTTGATTACTGGGTAATTAATATTTAATAAAAAGGTAATTTTTACTTTTAAAAAATTGGTTGCACTGCAGACAAATGCCAACCCGAAGCCAGAATTTTGTGGCGCTTTGCGTGCGCTCGACCCTGCAAGAATTGTCGAATCGTTGAACTGGGTCCTGAAGTTGTAAATCGACATCAGTGTGTGCATATGCTATCGTCGTCTTTAGCCCTGTTCTATCCACTGCTGGATGAAAACCTCCCCACATCACCTGCACCCCCCCCCCCCTCCCGCCACTCACATCACCAGTCTTGTTCACAGCCATCAACCCATCTGGCAATTCTAGATTTAAAGCTTTCGTGACTGCAAGGATCCATACTCTTTGGTTCTATTCGGTAAAGTCACGTGCCACGCCCAAGGCCAATTGTCCAAACGGTCACTTCGCTTTGTCCTCTCATCCACGTTTTGCCCCTTCTTTTGGTCTCGCAATGTAATTTCCAGATTTTCCATTTTTTTTCGTCATTGTCCACGTTCCCGTTCCATTTGTTTATAGCAGGGAACTTGTGACCGATTGTGAAACCCCCCTCCCTCTTTATGCACCAGGGGTTGTTGCTTGCCGTTGTCACGTTGTGTTTCACTGGCATTTCCAGCCTGCCCTGGCTTTTATTTAATTCTCGCGATACATTTTCGAGTTGTGGGTCCCCATGCCGAACACCGCAATAGACTGTGCAGATGCGAGACCTGGCGAGAGATAACGGTAGCAGGTTGGCACCGCGATTATTTGTACGAGACCTTTGGGAGTCTGGTCGTAAAATATATTAAGTCTGACGACCCGGTTGCTATTTATATCCCATAGCCACTGTTGTGGACTCCAAATATTGAAAATACCTGCTGAGGATGCCTCTAGAACCCTAACATAACTCCCAAGTTCAGTGTCCTTGGCGCGGCCGTTGGAGAATTTCTCATCTAAAGCGAGTGTCATGCGCTGCTGCTGTCGGGATTTTCAGAAATTGAAAATGTAACGGTTAAAAATAAATACAGCAGCTGTGAAAACGTACGTGTTAAACAAGACGTAAAGCTCTGGTTATGTTTGTTTTTAATCGAGGACCTCGTGTGTATCCTGATGGAAACTGTGGATGTACCAGAGTGATAAGCAATGCAGTCCACAGTGCTGCCCACGCTTTCGGGTTATTGTGGATGCGGTTGCTGGTGGTGGCGCGAAGCTGCCTACGATGGCGGCGATGCTCTTTAGATGCTGGTAATGGTGTCGGTGCTGTTAACGATGTAGGGGCGGTAGTGTAGCGGGTATTGTAGCGGTTAGTGCACTGCGCTACGTATACGGTGACCCAAGTTCGATTCTCACTCACGGCCAAACCCAGTGACGATCTTCTGAACCCGTCCTGGGCCTCCCCGAGATCGACTCGAACTCAAATGAGTACCCGGTGCAGTTTGTAAACATCGCCACTCGGGAGATAAAGGCAGCCGGGCGTGGCACTGGCCACCCACGCCCTCGTGTGCCGTGCTGGCCTGCAAAGGTGCTCGCTAACAGCACTTGCCCCAAAAGTCCTTCGAGGCTATACGGGGGATCCTTGGCTTTGCTGTTATTGATATTGCTGCTGAATGATGGTGGCGCTGGTGCTCGCATCGAATGAAGCTGCTCAGTCGGCCCGTTTCGTGAATCGCTGACGAAGGGTTGTGTACACGGCCAATTCTCCGGGGTCACTGTGTAATTGGCTCGCTCTTTCATGCCAAGACAAATCCTGTTTACCAACGAATGCAAGCCTCTTGCCAAAGTGGCGCATTGTCTCCATCCCGCTCCCAAACGTCAATGTAAACATTTCAGGGGTTTTCTTTTAGGCTTGCAGAGAGTACCGTATTCTCCAGGCTATGAGACGCTCCTTAAACTCATGTTTCGCCCCACAATCGTGTGTGTCCGGTGCCAAATTTGGATACACACACTGACCGGATGCACACCCAACTTTGCTTTGGAATACCGGGGGGGGTGGGGGGTGCATCTTATATTATCCGGAAAATAGTTCATTATTTTTATTGTTACGGGCAAGTGGTGAAGCAGTGTCAGAGCAATTTCATTCAATGCTGGAGGCCGAGCACTTGCTATTATAGCAGTGGTAACACAGACGATGGCACAGCACACCATTCACAGTTGGCATCGCTGTTTGTAAATATGGCTCAGTTTAGTATCAGTCCATTTTCATTGCCATTTTTTTTTACAACATTGTCAAATGTTAAACGTCGTGGTGATCACGAGTATTGAAGAGTTATTCATATCTACGGCCGCACGAAAGATTTTGGACGGGGGGGGGGGGGGGGGACTGCCTGCTTGCGATCTCGCGGAAGAGTTTAATGTGGCCGCAACATCGCATCCCAGGGCACAGTGTTCAACGGAGATGGTTTTAGAGGACACGGCTCTGCGATCCTCCCATAATAACAACTGTAGTGCCATTCACTGTAAGCATTGTGTGTGTGTATATATAGCCAATGCAGTGTGTAGCATATTCCGCTTCTGAGAATCGGAATACTTAAGTGTGAGAATACTTGACCTGAAAGGTATACTTCGTTGCGTGCGCTACGTTATTAACAGTACAGTATTTTTTAGACTCGAAGATGAAGCCCCCCCCCCCCCCCTCTATTTTTGAACCTTTTACAGTCAATCGATGGCTGAATGCTGTTTCAAATGACACGTGCACCTTCTGGGTTTAATCATTCTCGCTACAATCCACGCGGCGGAGACCCCGCGCGGCATAGCTAGTTTAGTTTTCTTGCTAGTGTGATGCCATAATCGTTGAAACTATGACGAGGTGGACTCTGCAAAGTGTGTATTTATTGTCAAAATATGTTTTTGTCGCGAGAATTATTTTTTTGTTTTAAACATTGAGTTAGAAATTCTTCAACAACTTGGCCAATTAGGGAAAATTTGAGGCGCGAGCCGTTTTGAACAGGTCATAAAATGCCGCGATGTACTTTTATTTATTTTAACAAGTGCCCCGACGTTACCCAGTGCCCTGTGAGGGTCAAAGTGAAGCCATCCAATGTTTGTTTTCGATGGGAAGTGTGAATCGCAACGTCTTCTTTTGAGCAACATTCCCCCGAAACGCACACACTTGCACGTTCTGCAGGAGTTACCTGAACTCAGACGCGCTCAGAGGCGTGTGTATGAATTCGGTTTTAATAGCAGGGAAAATAACCTCTGGAAATGGTCTCTTAAACTGGGAAATCACACATGGCTACTAACGTAATTACGGTCCATATTTTGATTGGAAGGAGGCCATTATTAACGTGAATTGCAAAGGGTCGTGGTACTTTAAGAGGACAAATTAAATGTGCTTTATTAAGGCGACGATGATGCGTAGGTAATTCAGTCAAGCTATTTATGTGCCGTGTTGAAATTTGGAGCACTTTCCTTCAGAGGTATGTAAGGCCCTGTATTATTAATATAGAACAGTATAATATAAATGTAGACGCAATAGACTGCTGTGGGCCTGTTTACAAAGACTCCCCCGGCTGTTTGTCAGATGAAGAGTGACTTTATGTACGATCTTCGGGTGTGAATTGTGAAAGGATATGCATTTTGTTTTTGTAAACTTGCAAATTTATATGAATGCCTTGCACCTTCGCCATCGGCTTAAAACACGCAAGCATTTAAATGTCTAGGGCCAAATGTTCAAGTATTGAAAGCTGTGAACAGAAGTTCGGAGGTGTCTGGTTCCTGGGGAGGGAGACTACTTATAATTCTGCACTGCTGATAAACGTGTCCCTATTTAACAGCGCTCGGGAACTTAAAGTTACTGTTTTTGATTTTTTAATGTAAACAATGTTGTGTGTGTGCACCTCCCATTAAGCGTTTTGCTTTCCTGCAATTTATATAACTTGTGCTACCAGCTTATAAACTGAAATCTTGTTTGTATGAAAAGTTTCAATGGAAATGCCCAACTCATTTATATGTTGAAATATACTTTTGTTCACTTCTGAGTGTTTGGCCATACGAGTGAATGGTTGTAGAAACGTTTAATTTGAGAATATATTACTTATTAGCTTTACTACCCGGCTTCGCCCGGGACTTGGATTCACCACGCCTGACCGCCTTTGTCTCCCCAGTGGCGATGTTTGTTCACACACCACACCAGTTACTCTTTTGAGGCTGAGTCGACCTAGGGGAGGCCCAGGACCGGTTCAAATAATCGTCACCGTGAGCGGGAATTGAACTCGGGTGGCCGGGTTCGTAGCGTAGCACGCGAATCGGTACACAGTCGCTGCCCCCCCCCACCCCACACACAGGATAAAGACAAAGATCCCCCGTGTAGCCTGTGAGACTGTAGGGGGCAAGTGCTGTTAGCGAGCACTTTTGAAGGCCGGAACGGTACACGAGGGGGTGGGTGGCCAGCACCACGCCCGGCCGCCTTTGTCTCCCCAGTGGAAATGTTTACACCGCAGCAGGGTACTCGTTTGAGGCTGAGTCGACCTAGGGGAGGCCCAGGACCGGTTCAAATAATCGTCACCGGTGGTGGCCGTAAGCGGGAATCGAACTCGGGTCACCGGGTTCGTAGCGCAGCGCGCTAACCACTACACTACCGCTCCCCCCACACACACGCGTCCATAGGTACACATACACGCGCTTGCAGCAGACACACACAACTTTCAGGGTGCGTACGGCAGTAAACGACTGAAATAATAAAGCAATGCTGCGTGAAGAACGCCTTAGACCTGCAACACATTTGTATGGCACTTTACTCGCGGGGGGGGGGGGGGGGGGCGTGACATGAGCAGGCTTCCGCATGCGCGGGTGACATGACAGATCTTCAGGGTTCTTTCAGTAAAGTCACGTAGAATGGAGATAATATAATAAAATTCTCACGACGTTTCGGCCACAACACAAGTAGCCTTCCTGAGGTGAAGAAACACGACTGTCCGGAAGACAGCGCTTGAGTGAACACTGCCAAGCTTGGAAGCGTCTTTTAAGCTGTGTGGGAGGAACAGAGCGCCTTGACAAAGGAGTTTACATATAAATTAGCATGCAACTGGGGGATTAGCATGATGTTGGTGTCGGAACAGAGGAGGGGGGAGAGGAGTTTACATATAAATTAGCATGTAACTGGGGGATTAGCACGCTAATCCCCCAGTTACATGCTAATTTATTTAGCACGCTAAAATTTATTTAGCACGCTAATCCCCCAGTTACATGCTAATTTATATGTAAACGTCTTTGTCAAGGCGCTCTGTTCCTCCCACACAGCTTAAAAGACGCTGCCCATGCTTGGCAGGGTTCACTCAAGCGCTGTCTCCTGGACAGTCCTGTTTCTTCACCTGAGGAAGGCTACTTGTGTTGTGGCCGAAACGTCGTGAGAATTTTATTGTTATTATTATTTTTATTATTTTATCTCCATTCTACGTGGTGACTTTACCGAAAGAACCCAGAAGATGAATCCCTGCAGTCACGAAAGATTGAAATCGAGACATGACAGATGTGACGTCACAGCGCATTTGCCGTGCAAAATATATGCATTATAATTTTTGCATGGTGTACAGTCTGGAAAGTATGCTAAACATTTTGAACAGATACACATTCACAAATTTTGCTTTAAAAATTACTCATTAGGAAGAGGGAAATGTTTTTCCATTGCACTGTATTGCAAACATTACAGGTTTGCGAGTACATGCATAACATACGATTGTTGTGGTTCCTTTAATTTTAAAGTCATCATTTACGTGTATTCAATCAAGAGTACGATACGCAGTTTTGTTTTTTATTATTTCGTTTTGAAGCCATGCTTTAAACTGATGGTTTAATTCGGTAATCACAGACGGTCAACGTGACCTTGTTCGACAAGACAAGCAGTCTCTGCTGCAAATGTCTAGAATTAAGTTGCCTGAAATACACTGTGCCTTTATATATACACACACACATTCTAATCGGAAACGTGGTTATTTACGAATCCAAAATAGAACAACAGAAAAGTGCACATTTAAGCAATGGGAGACGCACATCCGATTAGCACTGTTGACTTCGTATGGTGCGAAATAAGTACAATAAACATTCGAATTGCATTCGGAGACAAGCAAGTGCGTGGGTTGGAGAACATACACAGGCTAATGTCATGCGTAAAACTGTTCTGAAAAGTTGGCTCTACGGAACACGACGCTGGAAGGATCGAAGATGGCCTACTATAAAGAATAGTGACAGGGGCAGCCATGAGATGGAACATAACTGATGGTACATCCAGAGGGGATGGTGCGATTACATTAGCACGTGTGCAGTTGCTCGATAGATGACTGCATCACAGGGAACGCAAGAAATGCTGGCTGCTTGGGGAGGCCCTTAATCCAACGGTGGATTGATCATGGCTGATGATGAAAATACGATTCAATGAATACACTTTGGTTCTCTCGGTAAAGTCACGTAGGTATAAAATAAATCACGACGTTTCGGGCGCAACACAAGCGTCCGTCATCAGGTGGGACAACCACAGCAAGAAACAATTGCTGAAGTGGGCAAAAGAGCTGCTGTAACAAGAGGCTATGTAGGCAAGAGAGGGGGGAGGAGTGCAAGCTAAGACGCCCGAAACGTCGTGATTTAATTTATTTTGTTTTATTTTATACCTACCACGTGACTTTACCGAGAGAACCAAAGAGTATGGATCCCTGCAGTCACGAAAACTTAAATCTCCTCTTCAATGAAACGCGGCATACATTGAACACGTGGGGTTTCTGCGACCAACGTGTATGATTCATAATTGTTGCTTGAGTCGGATTGGGTGAGCACAATACAACATGTGTTGTCACTCCCTCTTCCACCCGACGGCCGAAAACATAGTCACGAGAGCACATTGTTTCAGCACACCGGTATGTTAGACTAATCTAAATTTTTTATGTAGCGTCATTCAAGATAATTGCGCGCTGTACACTTGTACATACGGGTCAAATGAAATGTATGGCCAATTGGGTTAATAACATGCCAATGTGGTGAAGCAATAATACATTGGCGTGTCTGTTCACACGTTAACTTCCAACTTCTTGGCGTTGGGGGTGGGATTACGACGCACCTTGCCATTGGGCTTCAGCAGTTCGACCCCAAAAACCAAATGATGAATACAAACGGCATCGGTCTAAAGAATGCATTTCTTGGGACGGTCGCATTCTCTCAACTCTGTTTAAGTTGGTGGTTCTAAACGACAAGGTGGCCACACAGCGCCCCACGAAACATCGTATCGCCTGCAATTCACCCCCTACTTCTGAAAGCCAAGGACGGCTCATCCTGGATAGTGCTCGGATGAGTCATGACTGGCCTGCACATAACAGGGGTGTCGAAGGATGCCCGAATTGCCAGTAGAGAGCAATATTAAAAAAAACGAAATCTATCGTCCTGTGTATATGCTCCCTTGCCTTCACCTTCCCGCATTTAACCAGCGTAGCGAAGTCTGACCGAATGATCACCACGAGGACGTCATCCAGCAGTTGATTAACAGAAGAGCTGAACGTCCACGTTTTAATTTTAACAATGATGGAATATTCCGGGACAGTGATTCGTGTACTGCGCTAATAAATACTCGATTTCTGTAGAATGCAGCTTATACTCGGTACACATTAGTAGAATGCAGCATATACTCCGTACACATTTGCTGGAATAAAATTTATACTCAGTACACATTGGTAGAATGTAGCTTATATTCAGTACACTTTGGTCGTTGGCGTAAAGGTTTATCAAACGCATGCCAACAGCGGTGGCATGGCACTACTTTTTGCATGTTCATTGGATAGGTCACATGAGTCATCTAGTCATTAACCCCCCCCCCCCCACTCATTTCGTGCCCTTTGTCACGAGGGAGACCGCATGCGGAGGGCTTTCGCACTTCTCACATGAATTAATTTAAAATAATTGTTATGCAACCCTTTTTTAGTGCGCTCCAGAAAATGTTATATAAATGGGGTTGATACTGCGTTTGGCAGTGGGTGCACAAGCGTCTAACAAGAATACAGATCAACACAACCGTCAATAACTGTGGCCTTAAGAAACATAATATAGGTGACGTTTCGAGCCCTTTTTCAGAGCAAACGTGAGTGCATTATTCCTCTTAAATAACCCAGCATGACATAGTGTGGTTGCAGTTCCGTGCCTTCCAGCGAACACACGTGTGCAATTGTAGTGGGTTCCCAGGACACGGAGACGGTAGAGTAGAGGCAGCACTATTTATTGAACAAGGGTCACACTGGAAGGGGTAACGGCCTCTTCACCCGTATACACTCAGGGATACCCCTAGGCTATCTAGCATAAGCCCTAGGCTCCCGATTCCTCCAGCTACAGGCGCTAGAGGAGGCTATCTGATCTGGCCCTGGTCAAGCACAGATCTCGGCACCCCACCAACCAGACCAGCCCTTAAAAGGGCTCCGGCTCTGAGGCTCTGGGGCCGTACCACCGGCTTTGGCCTGCCGGCCCTAAAAAGGACAGCGGTCAGGGAAGTCCCAGGGTCTATCTAGCCGGCCTTCCTTCTTCCCTGGCTCTTCATTCTTGGCCCCAACACACTGCCCCGAGCTCTCTGGCTCCCCGCCCTTTATACCCATACCCCACTGAGGGCGGGGCTATAGCGGACGTGGATGTAGCCACCCAGGTGTGGCTGTGCCTCACCTTCCCACACCGTGTGTTTCCTTACCATAACAAATCTGAGTGACGAGAACGGATCCATGTCAGTGGTATGCCAAATAATTGGAAGGCTGCAAATCCCATACGTTTCAAACAAAGAACAAAGGTCCCCCGTGTAGCCTGTAACAGACTGTAGGGGCAAGTGCTGTTAGCGAGCACTTATTAAGGCCGGCACGGCACACGAGGGGGTGGGTGGCCAGCACCACGCCCGGCCGCCTTTGTATCCCCCGTGGAGATGTTTACACACCGCAGCAGGTACTCATTTGAGGCTGAGTCGACCTAGGGGAGCCCCAGGACCCGGTTCAGATAATCGTCACTGGGTGTTGGGCCATGAGCGGGAATCGAACTCAGGTGGCCAGATTCGTAGTGCAGCGTAGCGCTAACCGCTACACTACCGCTGCCCATACAACAAAACACAGACACGTATTACACATACGGTACTCAATGTGTGACACGTGTTACACATACTCAATGTGTGTGTGACAAAACACAGGCATTGTGCCTGAGCAAAGCGCATTCACGGCAAGGGGAGCCCCCATTCTACTACGATGTGGGGGGGTTTAACAGACGTTCACAGATTTGATAATCATTGCTAATTGTTATCGATGATACACAGTGTTGTGGAAGCTCACCGATGGTTGTGCTCGTATTGAATCGAATGCTGCTGAAAGGATGCACTCACAGAAGACGTTTCGGCCGATGGGGTTGTGCGGGAACAACGTTTCTATATTTTTTTTGTGTATGCGGAGAGACGGATACATCTGGATACAAAGTAAGGTATTTTTTTTGTTTGTTATTGGCACTAGCCGAGCTAATGGTCGGTTCCACACACGGCACTATTTGTGGTTTCCATGGGACAGACTTTGTAGCAGTAAGCACTGGTGGCCGTACTGCGCCGATGAATCCTAAATAAGAATGAAACGGGGTCCACAGTTGTATGTATCTGCATCACTGCTGTCAGTCATTTACTAAAATTGATGTTGAATGTGACTACTTGAAACGACTGGGACCACATGCTGTTCTTCAGGAACTGATGATGGGTTTCCATACCTGTCAACCCCTTATCAGTGACCTAACTTATAACAGACCAATTCCGACCTTATTGGTCACCCCGTGCACCCTTATAAATCTCAACGTTCATCCTACAAAGTGCCATCACAAGGGAGAAACACAAATTAATGGACTATTTATTTATTTTTTGCCCGTATTGAAACGGCTGTACGCCGTATGGACCTAAAAACTAAATTTCCCTGCACAATAATACGGAGTAAACCGCATGGATTGACACGGTATGGGTTTATGTTTTGCATGGTGCACGTAGGCTGGTGTTGCTTTTATACATGTTTGTTGTGCATAAGGGGCCGTCCATAAATGACGTCACGCACCTAGGGAGGGGGGAGTGTCAGACATTTGTGACGATGTGACGAGGGGAGAGGGTTTGAGAAATGTGACGTCACATAAAAATGCGCAACTTTAAATAAATATAGAATTGTTACAACAACACTCCTCCAACATTATAGTGCAGCGCCACATTAAATACGCACTACAATGACAATAGTTTAAAGCGATTTGAAGCATGTTTTATATTTTGGGGGGGGGGGGCGGAGCTTTATGACGTCATATTTGAGGGGGAGGGGTCTAACTTTTTGTGACGCGGTGTGACGAAGGGGGGGCGGAGTAAAAAATCGTCCAAAATCGCGTGACGTCATTTATGTACGGCCCCTAAACGCCTGCAGGCAGGGACATCGGCGAAAAATAACTTTACAGTTCACCGTCTTCCTCCAGCATAAGAAAAAGCAATAATTTATAATTGTGCAGTGGACTCGCCCGGAGCGGTGACGTCACATCAAGGCTGGGGACTATCTCCTCTCCGCGGACCAACACACGGGGGCGGAGGAGGGGACCTTGCCTCTCGCGCGGTGATGCGGCCGCGCCGGCAGCTCGCCTCAACTCAAATCACTCCGCGCCTCGGCTGGCCGTCACCTTCGGTTCCCGGCACGCGAAAAAGGTTCGTGGTGAAATTGGGGTTTTAAAAAAAATAACTTTTTTTTCGTTTTAAAAACCTGGACGTTTATAAGCGACGCGTTTTCGAATATGCGCCCGCCTCGCGTTGTGATTTGTTTGTTTTTTAAATACGCTGCTCAAAATAACTACAAAAACTTTTTTTTTACTTACAGTGTGTTGAACGCGTTTGTATTTGCTAGAGCGGATGGGCGCAGCGCGGCTTATGCGTGCTGCGAAATGTAAATGCGCGCGTCACCGCTTGCTGTGATGTGGCCCCCGGGGTATTTGTGTGGGGGGGGGACGGAGGGGAGCGGTGGCGCAGTGGTTAGCGCGCTGCGCAACTCGGCCTGACACAAAGGCCAACGAGTTCGATTCCCCACTCGGGGCCACGCCAACGCCAGTGGCGATCATCAGAACCGCTCCTTTAGGTTTCGACTCGGCCCCAAATTCGTTCTTTGTGCGACGTGCCATCGTCAGCACTCGGGAAAGACAAAGGCGGTCGGGCGTGGCGCTGAACACCAATTCCGTACCGGCTTCAATAGGCGTTCGCTACCAGCACTTGCCCCAGGAGTCTGGTAAAGGCTCGTGAAGTGCTATTTTCTCCCGCCGAAATCAGTTTTTATAAAAGTGTGGACGATTTGCCCCCTTTAAAAGTTAAACGTTTTGCGGGGCACAATATAACAGCGTAGCGCATGTGCTACCGTGAAGGGCCGCTGCCCGAAACGTCGCCTTAACACGAGGATAAAAGGGTCAACAATGTCAAGTATTCCAATGTCATTTCACTTCGAATTCGGGAAGAACCACCGCCCCTAATGTGGCAGGTTCACGAGCAATATCGATTGGCGTTTGACGAGACTTGAGTGTCGAAACCGGAGTTTGCTTTGTGTCTGACCAATGCTGCTGCTGATTAAATTACTCCACTCGCAGAGCAAAAGCCACGTGGGCCGATTGTATTGTGTTGAGAAATGAGTTTGTGTATATATTTTGTGTCGACCGACGGACACGTGGACTCGTACATTGTCCGGAGGTGTTGGCCTGCAATGGTATTGCTCACGGATACTGCTGCTCTCTAAAGCCATCTAGTTTCTTTTTTTACTGTGTTTTGGCCTACTCTTCCATGCTGGGCAAGCAATCTTGAACGGGGATATGTTCTAGAAAGGTTCAGTTTATACCGATTGTTTTTTTTTATATATAGTACAGAGTTAGACTTAGACATGTTACATCTAAATTGTATTGTGATTGTTATTGTGATCAAACATCAACATGGGATTATTTTTTTACACGTTTTTGGACGCAGCATAAACAAATGGTGCTTTTTTTTCTGGAACATTTTATTGTTTTTGTAAGGGGATGTTTAAATTTGCGTACAGTAAATTTTAAATGTATCTTGCAATTTTAATGTTTGTTGCGTTTGCACCCGAATCGAGAGCCGAATGTCTCACAGGGTTATTCCAAATAAATGAAACTGAAAACTCAAGACGAGAATATGTTTATGTATATATCCCCTTTTAAGAGCGGTGCTATCGATGAATGTTGGCTTTGCGTCTTCCCCTTTAGACTCTCGTCTGAACGAACCTCATTTTTATTTGTCGTGGCATTTTTGTCATTGGAATTAGTGACTTCCTCTCGCCTGGGGATTGTGATTCATAACAACCTCCCTTGTGTAAGCCGGGGCACGCTGCCCTTGCCGCCAGCAGTGGCCTGAACACAATAAAAGATTTTAAAATACCTTTTTTTTTTAAAACACCACTCTTTAATTAAATGTACCGTACGAGTAATGGCAGAACTCCACGACCCCAGGAAGTGGCCCCGAAGTTTGGCCACAAACGTAAAGGGGGCCCGTGGTGATTCACAGCCAACGTCAGTTGAGCGTTGACAATTAGACCCGTAAAAAAGATTGTTTAAAAATATATTTTTTTAATTCAACAATGATAGGATATAGTATTATTATATTTTGATTTAAAGCTTTCGTGACTGCAGTGATTCATATTCTTGGTTCTTTCGGTAAAGTCACGTTGAAGGGAAACAATAAAATAATAAAATATATATCTAAAACGATCAAATTCTTACGACGTTTCGACTGCAACACAAACAATCATCATCAGAATATAGTATTGTTATCAATATGACATACCTATACCAAGTTTGCAGTCGATACGACATTGGGAAGACGGTTGAAATTGAGTTACAAGATTTGTCATCAGTATGACAGTATACCAAGTTTATAGTCGATAGCATATTGGGAAGTGTGTAAAAAATTGAGTTTCAAGATTTGTCATCAGTGTGACATAAGTATACCAAGTTTACAGTCGATAGCACATTGGGACGTGGGTAAAAAATAGAGTTTCAATATTTGTCATCAGTATGACATAAGTATACCAAGTTTACAGTCGATAGTACATTGGGAAGTGTGTAAAAAATTGAGTTTCAAGATTTGTCATCAGTGTGACATAAGTATACCAAGTTTACAGTCGATAGTACATTGGGAAGTGTGTAAAAAATTTAGTTACAACATTTGTCATCATTGTGACATAAGTATACCAAGTTTACAGTCGATAGCACATTGGGACGTGGGTAAAAAAATTGAGTTTCAAGATTTTTTTGAGGATACAACAACAGACGGAGTGAGTTAAATAAAAAAAGCGTGTAAAATAGGTAGAGGCTTCAAGAATGGTAAACAAAGTACGGTCAGTTCTGTAATCACGCCGCGTGCTTTCACAACGCGAATTTTATATAACGCGATTTGTTAGGGAACACTTTTGTTGTTGTTGTTTAAAACGCGGATGCGAATTTGACAATGCGACTGAGTTGAACGGAACTACGCCGCGCGAGTTAGGAATGAGCGGTTTGTACGTCTGCCTTTTGGGGCCGTCCATAAATGACGTCACGCACCTGGGGGGGGGGGGGGGGGTCAGACATTTGTGACGATGTGTGACGAGGGGGGTTTGAGAAATGTGACGTCACATCAAAATGCACAACTTTAAATAAATATAGACAACACGTTCTACTTAATTAAATAGACTTTTTAATAAATGTTTTTTTCCTACATCGGAGTGCAGCGCCACATTAAATACGCACTACAATGACGATAGTTTAAAGCGATTTGTTTTATTTTTTGGGGGGTGGGGGGCAGAGCTTTGTGACGTCATATGTGAGGGGGGGGTCTGACTTTTTGTGACGCCGTGTGACAAGGGGGGGGTGTCAAAAATCGTCCAAGACCGCATGACGTCATTTATGGACGGCCCCTTTGGTGTAGCATCATCACACAAGGCACTGGGATGCTGCTGGATTCCTCTCGATGCTACTACTACCCAGGTGCCTCGGGTCTTTGCTTAGCCTGCGTACGCATCTCACGCGTGCTATCGCAGGCTGTGCTCGTTACCCTACTCGTCCCAAGTAACCGATACTATCTTCGAGTTGTTTTATGAGTTTATTTAACATTTCAGAAACATGGGGGGGGGGGAAATTTAATAAAAAAAAGATTGACAATTTAATAGCTGTTAAGCGAGTCACTGGCACACCCTTTAAACAATTTCTCGCCACCCTCATCCATGGCTACGTATTTCTATTGCTTAGCGACTAACACTGGCACGCGTTTTTCACCAATTTTCATGGTTTCAATTAATGAATTATAAACCTGAGACACAGTAATTACAAAAGCGCATAAAGATCAACAATAACAAATTATCGTGAAAAATGTCAGTGTGTTTGAAACCTACCTTCCCATTGAATCAACGGTTGTTATAACCCTATTTTTCCCATAACGTGGTACTCTTCAGGAACGCAACTAACCGTGTTGTAGGAGAGTAGGGACTCTACATCTGTCTCTCCACACAAAATCATTATTACAAAAACGGCCTTGTGGGAGCGCAGAACTTCAGCAGCGCAGATTCAGTTCAGGTTTCCCTCGCTTGATGCGGGTCCGGTTTGTGCGGTTTCGCGTGTACGCTGCTAACCTATTTCTACATTTCTATTTAAAGCTTTCGTGACTGCAGGGATTCATATTCTTGGTTCTTTCGGTAAAGTCACGTAGAAGGGAAATAATAAAAAAATATATCACGACGTTTCGATTGCAACACAAAGCAATCATCATCGGGTGTGAAAACCACAGCAATATTTCTTTTAAAAAGTGGCGGGTTTTCTTTTTTCAAATTTTCTTTGCTGTGGTTTTCACACCTAAAGATGATTGCTTGTGTTGCAATCGAAACGTGAGAATTTTTTTTGTTATTTCCCTTCTACGTGACTTTACCGAAAAAACCAAGAATACGAAACCTATTTCTACTAAAAATTCCGCTATATGCGGTTTGAATTCACTCGTGCGCGGCTATGCTTTCGAGCGCGGGACAACGTTGTGTGTGTGTGTGTGTACTGTGCGCTACTCGGCAGACAGGCAGCTTGCCCCGTGCGGCTTCGCTTTGTGCGCCCATTACTTTGCAACGCTTCCACGACTACTGCCGCATAACACGATGGAAATCTGCACAAGCAAAACTTCTGGATCGGTTTCGACACACGTGTGTCATCGGCCGAGTCGGACTCGCTTGAATCAATGCTCTTTCTTGAATTGCCAGATGTTAGAGGCAAGGACCCTCAAACATTGTGATATATGGGTTTCAAGTTAACCTCCTGGGCATTGTCTTTAAAAAAAAAAAAACAACCCCAGCAGTAATCCTGTGGCTAAAGTATCGTTCCCAGTTCCATGGGATCTGCAGCGCAACAACAACCGTTAAGTGATGAGGTCACCCGCCTCATTAGCGTGTGACACGTGTGTGCTCCAGGTCAGTTTTACCGCTCTCACGCTTGTGTATATATGCAATTGAATGGACATGTTGATGATGATGAAGAAGTGACCCGCTTCTACTAAATATCTATGAAAAAGAGCTTAATAGCTCATCTGATTCCTCCAGCCAAAATATTCAGATTCTATTTTTCGATTTAAAGCTTTCGTGACTGCAAGGATTCATCTTCTTTGGTTCTTTCGGTACAGTCACGTAGATTGAGAATAAAATAATAAAATAAAACAATAAAATTGTCGAGACAGAGCTGTCGTCCTGACAGTTTTGTTCCTTCACCTGAAGAAGGCTACTTGTGTTGTGGCCGAAACGTCGTGATAATTTTATTGTATTATTTTATTCTCATCCTACGTGACTTTACCGAAAGAACCAAAGAAGATTCAGATTCTAATATGCGTTTGTACATTATCCTCCGTAAATATTAAATATTTTAAGACGGTACTGATATTGGCAGGTTGTATATACTCGCTACGCATGTGGTTACATTTGTGCTTTCTTTTTTCAATAGTATGAGCATCAATCACTGTCAATCCACTGCTGGACTAAGGCCTCCCCAAGCCATTGCCATCTCTCACAGTTCTGCAATGAAACAATCCACCTGGCACCGTCTGATCTCCGCAGGTCTCCCGAAAGTTAAGCAAGGTTGACCCTGGATACTACTTGCATTGGTGACCATGCATTAAACAGATGTTATAGGTGTTGTAGGCAGGAGAGCAGGGCAGCACTGCTCCACCGCCATAATGGCATTTTTTGGGTTAGAGTGCGTCAATATAAATGTCTCGTTAACCCACCGCCACCCGACGGCCATTTAGTAAGGTTTGTCACGTAAACACAAGATGCCAATGTAATTACTACTTCAGCACGCCGGTGTGTTAGAGAGTAAATCCATGTTTACAAATTTGAATACGATGTTTCGCCAGTCATTACAACCAGCCTCATCCGGCGATATTTGCCAGAATTGTGAAGAAGTCTTCCTGCTTCTGGTATCTAAATAGAGCAAGATGGCATCATCACTGTGAACATGTCAGGTGTGGAGATCAGAGGGTGGGGGAGGGAGGTTATTGTAATCATATGACAGTGGACTATGTTTTTTTTTAAACTTTATTACGTATGGGAAAAGTTTTTGATGCTGCCACACCTCAGTGGGTGCCAATGCTTCCACCCCTTCTGCCAGATTCCTGCAGCTGCTGCACCGTAGACACGCGGCGACCTCCAATGATCTGTCCTGACCGTATCCACACTGCCTGCTCGTGTAGGTCTTCTCTGCCCGTTCGACTCGCGGAGACACTTAATCATGTGGCAGCACATTTAGATTTTTGTCTTTATCGAGGATGGCCTCGGTCAAGTTACGCGATGTAGCGGTGGTATGAAATCCTTGGCCAATTATTTTGTAGGGAACTTTAAGCACAATGTCTTTTTTATATCTTGCGAATGAGGTCACAGAGTCTTTTCTTGTTCCCTTTGGAACCATACTGCACTCATTCTTCAGTACATTTCCCACAGTCCAGTATGTTGTGCAGATGCAACATCAAACGGTCAACTCGATGCAACCAAACTGGCGGGTGGCGAGCACTTTGACCGCGGGGCTGTTTGTTAACCTACTGAATTTAGTTTGTTGTCCTTGACCCCACACCTCCGATTAATTAGCACGGTTGGCTATGTAGGATGCAAGAAGAAGTTCAACATACGAACATCATCACCTCCATTTGTTGTCCTTCCCCTGAAGCTCCGATTAACACGGTTGCCTACGTACGGTGCGAAAGAAGTTCAACATGCATACGTACAACGAAACTCCCCTCTCTCCCCACTTCGATCCTGGCAGTGTGCCGGAGATGTTGCGGTTGGAGTACACCCTTTTCGTAACTTACAGAATGTAACCACCATCACCCCTTCCCACCCCACCCCCCACCACCGTCGGTAGATGGCTGCAATCCGCAAGAAGCTGGTGATCGTGGGCGACGGCGCTTGCGGCAAGACGTGTCTGCTCATCGTGTTCAGCAAGGACCAGTTCCCCGAGGTGTATGTGCCCACCGTGTTCGAGAACTACGTGGCCGACATCGAAGTGGACGGCAAGCAGGTGAGGCGCAGTCTCTCTCTCTCTCTCTGTCCGCCGAGGTTGTCGGGGCTTTCAGAGTTATGAGCTGTAAGTAAAAACTATAAACTATTTTTTTTTATTTTACCAGGTAAGGCCCGCTGAGCTATATAGCTTTGTTTTCGGAAGCGACCTGGCCGTCGCAAATGATAGCTCGATGAAGTGGCTTATTACTTTTAAATTGACAACGGCACGATAACCTAAGAGCACGTTTATATATGTGGAGGGGGAAAACCTGAGGACCCGGGAATCAATCCACGCCGCTACAGCTGAGAGAGAACACACAAACTCCAAGTATACAGGTGTCGGAGTCGGGATCGAACCCACGCATGCTGTTTACCAGGAGAGGTAGTTAACATCTCGACACCGTGGCGACGTGAGATTTCTATTTCACCAGCCGTGATCATTTATTTTAGGATGATGATAGTTTGTCCCCCCACTAGGCCACGGTGGCATGCAATCATTTCCAAACCAGGCTCCTGGGTTCTCTCAGCCAGTCGCATGCCAGTTTGTCGGGAAATGTTTTGTTATGCAGGGTGATCCGTTTGTAGATACCCCACTAAAATAACCAGGAGGTATTTACAATTGGGAATAAAAGTTAAATAATCGGGAGGTATTTACAAAAACTCTGTTCTGCGTCTCAACATACAAGTGCAAATTTTACTCCATCGACCTTTTGGTTTTCCATTGCCCAACATTATTATTATTATTACAATTATTGTCAATACTCTCAGTCGGGGGCTGGGTTGCTTGATGCGTTTCCCAATTAATATGGCAAATGTTGGACTGACACCAGCACACAATGGCCTACTCTTCTTGGAATGACGTCACGGAATGTTTAACATTGGCGTGTTTATGGGTAATCCACCCGCAGTATTTACCGGCGTGGCCTGCCTGGTCCCGAGCCACGATCCTCTGCAATGGGCGGCAAAACACGCTTGCCGCTGGGCCATGTCACTCCCAACACTCGAGATTTGACTAATGGCCGTTAGACTTAAAGCGATTTTATTATCGTGCACTTTGCAGTAGTTGGTGCTCTGTAAGCGCTAGTGATTTGCAAGGCAAGGTTTCGTTGATGTGTAAAAAGTTAACGTTAATGTCACGGACTACGGAGCAGAAAGTTGCTGCAGCAGAATGGGAGGGATGCATCGGACACATTCGACCTGTTGTATTTCAAATGTCTTGGCGTGACCAATATCTTGTGCAATTATAAAATGTAGCTGCTTGCAAAAAAAAAATGTTGACAGTTCACCTCTGCTATGTCTGTTACCCTTATCCCTTCATAATTACAGGGAATTTTAACCCTTATTATAGTAAGACTTGTTTAAAACTTATTTAAGATTTTAGATTCCTATATGTTGAATGTATGCACCATCCTGCCAAAGTAAATTCCGTGTCGGTGTGAACTTACATGGCGAATAAAACCCTTTCTGATTCTGATTCTGAATTATCTAATCATTGTAAGATACTGAGCGGGGTTTAGATGGCTGAATGACTCCATTTGGCTGTAAATTGCCTATTATGCGATTCCACCTTCCAACAGCAGTGAAGTGCACCACTGAGTGAGCCGCTCGTTTCTCGCGCTCTTTCGAGCGAGGGGGATGTGGAAAATCCAAGTCGATCACTGGGAGGTGCTCAATTGCTGCCCTGCCTCTTCCTGTCCGTGGTCAAATTGAACAGCAGCTGTCAACCATTATTAAGGCTATTCGGGACCATTCTAAAGCCCCCACCTCTAGAACAATGACCATATTATAATGTATGTTGAACATCTTTGGCACCATACGTAGCCAACCGTGCTAATCGGAGGTGCTGCATGTTGTGAAATTACAGAGTGATGCCTGCCCAGGCATTCAAATAAAGAAAAGGTTGATTTTTCTTACACTTGGTAAGGTTGTGTGTACAAAAAAAAACCTCCCTTTCCAGTTGGAAGTAAACAATGGGACGACATTGCACTCGATGTGCGTTGGCAGCTTTGTATAATTTTATTGAATACCTTCAGCATGGCTTGAATGCTTGAGGTTAAACTTAATAAAGCGCGAATATGCGTGCAGAATGCAACGTCCTATGGCAGATTTAACAATCTTCAGGCGTTTTATGACCGTGATCCGCCTCTAAAAATGCAACGTCACGCCTCAACAGACTATGAAATGCACGCGTGCACGCTTGCGCACACGCCCAGTTTCCAACAGAAAGGGACATTGATTGCAGAAAAGCAGTGCTGATAGTTTGCATGTGTGGGCACCGACGTCAGACGGAAGGCAAAGGTGGGCGCGAATGACGGGCATGGAATAATTTAGGGGCTTTTCACAAAATTAAGGGAGCCGCCTGAATGTGACTTCCATCAGGAAAGGACTGGAGTTGAATGTCGCGAGGTCTATTGCTTCGGGAGAGAGTTAGTGTAGTTTTGCTATTCCACCTGTTGGAAGGAGCACAGACTACAGTGGTTTACTTGACAGTCCACAGTTTGGGTTGCATAGCCGCAAGTACACTGCGGCCTACCATTGAAACCCTCCCGGTTGCAACCTTCCACGCCGCCAATGATCGACCATCAACCTAATCAGGACCAGGCACAGCCGACGCGGCCACCTGATGCACAAACATCGCATCAAAGATTTGGCGGCCTGCAAGTGCAGCCACGAATCCCAAACCGTCGACGGCATCGTAAACACTCCGCCGCTGATGCAGTCTTCACTCATTTAAAGGAGGACTGAGACGAGATGCACTCTGCTTCTGAGCAGACAATTGAGTGGGTGGCAAATCTAAAATTACATCTTTAATCTGCTGCTTCTTAATCCATACGAAAGAAGACTGCCAGGGCTTGTCTTTAATTTTCCATTTGTGGAGATGTGCGCATCGGCCTTTCGATGTTTTGATGCGGTTGATGGTGGCGCACAAGTGTGTTCGAGGAGGAGTGTCAAAGCCAGGTGTGATGTGTGGGTCATCAATGAGGCGTTTATTCTGTGTGTTAACACCAGCATTGTGTACAATGAATAAGCAGCCAGTTGTGGATCCTGGCTCCATCGCCCTTTGATAGTTCACCGAACCAGCTTTAAGGCGTCTCGCTGGCCTGGTCAAGCGTGGCTCCTTTGTTTCTGTGTTCATAACAACGTATGCACATGGCTACCCTGTTTAGCTGTTCATCTGCTCCCAGTGTACAAGGGGAGTCCTTTTTAGTTTTGTGGGACAGAATGGCCATTGTATAGCAGCAGCAGCAGACACACGCAACATAGACGACCTTTAACCCTTGGCACAGTGGCGTCGTCTTCCGGTGCCGTGGGATGTCTCTGACCTAATATACTGGAAAAACAAATCTAATAAATAACACGTTGGGGATAGCCATTGCTGAATCCTACCCATTTCAGTAAATAACACCGCAATGAGGTGCTCCTTTAAAAAAAGAAAATTTACAAATGCAATATATACGTTTCATGAATCACCAGTCGGTGCCTCTAATTTTGCCACTTGGTGTAGCGCATGTAAGGTGGCAGCGGCGGCGCTCTAGAGGTAACAAGGGTTGGTGGATCACAAACGTTGGGATACGTCCTCCCCGTGGGCTATCGAAGTACCATAACCCCGACTCGCCAGAAGGCGGCAGTACAGAAGAATGTGAACTCCATCCTTTCCATCTGTATGGGATCGTGTTGCCCCCCCCACCCCCCTTCTCCAAATACAGTAGACTCTCAATTATCCACACTAATGATGGGGAGGATGGCTGCGGATCATTAAAAATCACGGATAATCGAAAAATATACATTTTTTTAATGTCAAAAACCACTAATATCGGTATAAATTATGTTTAGGTTAAGAAAATGTAGTTTGTTAATGAAGAAAAAAAATTTGTAGGAAAGAATGTATTGATCCTGTTTTATTACAAAAGCCCATACAAAAACACACTCGCTTAAAAAAGGTTTGAAAAATCCTCAAATTTGATGCGCGTACTCGGTGTTAACACTGTCCTACTCCCACGCAGAAGACTGTGCCAAGTGGATAGCAGAGCCACGCCCATCAACATCAAACTCCGCCCACTGTTGTAAAGATATGCAACAACTGTACTGTAGAGGCGATCTCACATGCATTTCGGATTAACCGGAGCACATTTTTTTTCGGTTTCAGCACGTGACTTGTAATAAAAAAAAATTTATTGCAATGTACAACTCTTTTTAAAATATTTATTTGAGCTTAAGGGAAAATCCACGAGTTATTAATTTGTCCAAATCTCAGGTGCGCGGTTAATCCGCAAATCGAATAAACCGCGCGCAGATAATTGAGAGTCGACTGTTACTCTGGTTTTCTCCCACATCTGGTGGTGAGACGTTAACCACCTCGCCTGGTTTACAGGTTGTGGGTTCGATCCCGACCCTGACGCCTGCGTATTTGGAGTTTGCATGTTCTCCTCGTGGCCGCGTGGATTTTTCTCCGGGTCCTCCGGTTTTCCCCTCCGCATTTAGAATCAAAGTGCGTTTAGAGTATTTGGCTGCTATACATTTCTACACGATAAGCCACTTCGTTGAGCTATCAGTTGTGGCCAGGTAGCTTCTGAAAAAGAGCTACATAGCTCAGTGGGCCTTAACTGGTAAAATAAAAAGTTTTGGTTTAGTTTAGTCGATTGAAAATGCTCATCCTTCATGAATAAACTACCCAGTCATAGACTACGCAGATAATGGAACTGGTCTCATCCCTTCACTCGCTTTCCATTAGACTTAATTTGAAAATAAACATTTGTCACCCACCTCCGAAATAAAAAGCGACGGTGCTGAATGGGCACGGAACGGACACGGGACAGACACGCGCGTGCATGAACGCACCCATTTGACAATTCACCGTCGAATACAGACGAGCATTGAGCCTTTTATATTCCGAGCAAGGAGAACAACAGAGAATATTTGACAGCGTTGAGATCTGGGGGCAGTCATTCGGTTTGAGGGCAGGATGCAATTCCCGTCTTGTGGGGGAGGGCTGAAGGGTGAGGGGGTGCATGGGCAGGGGTTCAGTCGTGCCCCGAGGGGCATGGGGAGTCGAGATCGGGCTGGGTGGAGCTCTGGGTGGAGTTGCCACGGCCAACTTTGTAAAGACGCGGTCTATATGTTTTGGCAGCCGCTCTGAACGGCCACACAAGTGCTCCGTCCCCCCCCCCCCTCCCCCCCCCCGTGTCCCCCGCGTTTTAATTCAAAGGCCGTGTTCAGCTCTTGAATGGGCGCTCTTGTATGGTGCTTACCGTGCTTGGCCACTCTATTGTTTTGGTGTAGATCATTAGTAGAACTTGGAACTCTCGGCAATCCAGTGTGCTTTTCTACTGCTCTGCATTTTACAGCCATGTGTAATTATGTAATTTTACTGGAGATTTTTTTTTTTACGCTAAAATGTGCTGAACAAAGACATTATTATTTAGCGATGCTGCTGCTGCTGCTGCTGCGTTGACAGCGGTGAACCAGAACAAATAACACTGCGGGCCTTAAAAAATAAGGCGACGTTTCGGGCACATGGCCCTTCACAGCACGTACGAGAGGGCCAGTGTTGGTGACGAACGTGTTGTAGTTTTTTGTTAACAAAGACAAACGTTGCCTTTTATTCCTGGGGTCAAGCTGCTGCTGTCGACAAATGTTATTGGCGAGCACCTTTTGCTGCGGGGGCGAACACGAGTCGGATGAAGGAAGTCCCAATGAGGCCAGCTAATGCCTGCTTTTTGTAAAGCGGGTAACGTTTCATCGGTGGTCAGCGCCCGAGTTTGAATTCTGGACACATGCTAAAGTTTCTTGGCGAGTTATATCTGAACCGGTTATAGCCCCCGGCCTCCCTCTTCACCAACCCGCACGCTGACCAAGTGCGGTGAGATGAGGTCAAACTACCACCACAAACCAAAGACACAGTGTGGGGAGGCATTCATCCAGCAGTGACTTAACAAAAGGCTGTGTACTGTTATTATTTTGTATTGAGCCCTGAGTGTATAGTCAATGGTAGAACTATCCGTCATGGCCAGTCCAGTTGCGTCCAGTTGCCTCTGCACGTGTTGACACACAGAAGGAAAAAACTATTTTGAACTCTGGACGAGTCAACCCTGAGAGGTTCAATACCGATAATAAGACCCTAAACGTAATGGACACAAAGGAAAGTTTGTTAAATTATTTAGCTTCAGGAATCGCTCACTATAAGAGCATTTCAGAATTAGTCATGTGAGATTGTACACCCATATACAGGTCCGGTTGAGCTACGTCAACCCGCTTGGAGCTCTCCGTGCCAAAAGGAAGGGTGTGGTTTTTGCCACGGCCGAATGAATCGTCTAAACACGTGAAATCCGTTGAAGTTCATGTGCAGCCGTAGATCACACACAGGCGCAGAAGAGCATAGACAATTTCAATTTGCAAATATATCAAGATATATTTGACCATATCCACAAATCCTTAGTCGAGGAAGTTGCACATTATTGTCTAGGTTTTTTTTACTTTCGTGCTTAATTTGTCGTGAACAAGATCCAACAGTCGAGTTAAATAGAGAATTGAAAGCCATTACTGTTGACGTGGCCACAACACCCATCCATTACTTCCTTCCTTCTATCAGAACCCACAAGGGTTGCAGTCAACACCCAACCTCCAGAGTCCGCTTACAAATCAAAACACCGTGCTCACCAGATGTTGTAGCTTTAGGTTGTTTAAGTTTGAATCCTGCAAATGCAGTTTAACATCGGCACTTTCCTCCTCACCGGTGGCCTCGGCGAACGGTCCTAGGAGGACTTTTTAACCTTTTTTTTTGTGCTCGGGCATCCAAACCCTGGGGGTTTCCCACATCGTATTTCGTCAGCTATGTTGTCTGCACCGAAAAGAGGGGGTGGGGGGGGGGGGGTACACACATGTTTTACGAAACTCCCAGACAGGATGAACGACTGCCGTCGACGCCGCCAGCAGGGGACAATGCTTTTTGTGTACTGGACAGGAAACCGGAATGTTTAGCGAAAAATTGGGACGCATGAAAGAGTACAGTGCAGTGGTGGTGGTGGTGGCGTGGCGTTTATTGGGCCTCTCCAGCAGTGGGCCCCGCACGTGCCCTCTTCCCCGGGTTACTCGGCACCCCGAATCCAGCTTGTGTTGGAATTTTGTTGTGGCTGCAGCTCCTAAAAACAACAACTTGCCTCCCAGGGTGGCCTTGCAGGCAGATATATATTTGCTTTATCTTCCGCTTCCCATTTGACGATGGAATAGGCTCAAACAACTTCGTAAGTTCCGGTCAAGTTGACTGTGTCCGTAGTTTCAATGTGGTTCACGCTGCCCTGAAGCCACCAATGATATTGTCGATACCACTTTTTAAAAGAAATACAATTAACACCCCATGATCAGACAGCAGGATGACCCCAAGTGGTCAGTGTGTTCGGTTATCTGGTTTGTTTCGCACAACTGCCAGGAATTTGCCATGCGGAAATTGCCAAAATACGCTCCGCGTTGTGGTGCTGTGAACGTGTTAAGACCCTTGTGACATTCGGAAGAGTGGGCCAGTCGTGTTTGGTGCCACGTCGTTTTTTATCACGCGCAAGTTGTGAATGCAGTCGATTCGTAAGAAGCGTTTAGAGAAACGATTTGGAATTGAGTTGAGTGATTTAACCAATTAAGTTGCTTTTAGAGTTGTTGTACGAGCAAAGGTGTAATGTCTGGTGTGTGTACACAGGTGGAGCTGGCGCTGTGGGACACGGCCGGGCAAGAGGACTACGACCGCTTGCGGCCCCTCAGCTACCCGGACACCGATGTCATCCTCATGTGCTTCAGCATCGACAGCCCCGACAGCCTCGGTGAGACGACCTCCGATTGGCACGGTTGGCTACGCATGGCGCCACCATTCCTGGGCCCGAGGGAAGGCAAGAACAGTGGCTTTAATCCGTTTCACGATGCTTCGCCACACCAGTTCTCGTGAGTTGAAGGGTGTGGTGGGGGAGGCAGGCAGGACTAATTTCAGAGACCACCACAGCCGCTGTCAGGCCGTGCCTGGGAATCCCACTTAAGTTGACGGGGCTCAGAGCCACTGCCCCACCCACGACGGTGAGGGGCCCCGTTTTCAAACCGAGGGTTCTCGTTTGTAAAACCCGCGTTGGTGCCTTACAGGGCACAAGCGTCCGCCGTAGAAACCTGCCGGGGAAGGAGCTGAGACGTCGCCGCTGTGCCTTTGCCGCGGTGTGCAGAGAACATCCCCGAGAAGTGGACGCCAGAGGTGAAGCACTTCTGCCCCAACGTGCCCATCATCCTGGTCGGCAACAAGAAGGACCTGCGCAATGACGAGAACACGCGCAGGGAACTGGCCAAGACGAAGCAGGTTTGGTGCGCGTGACACACACACACACACGCGCGCGCAAAGTCACACGACCGTTTCCTTTATTAAGCAAAAGCTCTTATTCGGAACTCTACCAATCAGAGTGCTCTATTCACCAGCATCTTGTCATGAGACAGCCTCACAAATGCTTCCTTCGCCTATCCGGACAAATGTCAACAGCCATTGGGCATCTTGCTTAGCCATAGATGTTATCTTGACGAGATTCATGCAGCACCTTTTACAGCAATTCTAAAATTGTACACAGCATGACAATGACTTGAATGAAAAATTGGGTTATTGTAAATGGTGGTGTAGTTTAGATGACAGTAGACCGAGGGATTGAGAATGAGGGGTTGGGATAGGCCTGGTCATAGAGGGGGGGGGGGGTGGGGTGGGCGACAAAACTAGGGGGCTGAAAAGTAATCCGGCATTATTGCATTGGGAAGACAAAGAGGGCCTCCATCAGGAAGTCTCCCGCGCCGCCGACGACTTCCGCAACATCCGTAGCCGTGCACAAGTTCCGGCCAGGCCCACGACGAGGAAAAAACGCCTCGCAGTGACCCGGCACAACTTGCCACGGATGCGAAGCTCCCCCCTCTGCGCTCGGCACGCCGACAGTGAGGACTCCTGCGGCAGGAGCTCACCCTTAGGTCCCGGGGACCGCACAAAGCCCCCGCGTCCTGCGGCTGCTAAGGCCCCAGCGCGGCCCGGGGAAGGAGCTACCTGGCGGGGGGTGGCGGTGCGGCCCGGCGAGCGACCAGCGGCAGCCAGGCCCCCAAGAGGCGATGCCCCAGTGGGCGAGGCGCAGTGCCTATCATAAGGGGCGGCGGGGAGGAAGCTGTGGGGGGCGACCACGGTGCTGCCCGTCGAGCAAACCGCTGGCGGCTGCCAGGCTGCCGAGAGGACACCCAGTGGGCGGCTCCAGCGAAACAAAGGCATTGTCAAAATAATAACTACAATAGTGGGGAGGACAGGAGAGAGGTAGGGGGAGGTAAGGGATGGAGGGAAAGTAGTGTAGGGATCAAGCAGATTGGCTGCTGATGCCACCTTATGCTGTGCTGCTGCCAGTTTGGGCGTCGAAAAAGCTTGTTTATTGGGGCTTCAGGACACTGCTGTGTGGAGGCACTAGCAGCTATTTGTACATAAAGTATTATGTACTTTAATCTGCCACACTGCCTCCACTACAATCAACGTTAAATGTTTTTCTTATATCACAGTTAAAATGCCGGCTTAGTATCTCTAAAAGTTTTACGTACTTGGAAAACAGAGCTTGTGCCGAGTGTGGTAGCGTAGGATGACTTGGCACAAAGTACCGGGCAGGCCTTTATGCGACTTAACCGTCTTGTGAATGCTTGTGTAACCACCATCGTTCCATTGCATAATGCACTTATGTACCAGCGTCTCACGAATGCCACACCACCAACTGCGGAAGTAAATTCATGCGACGAACGTATGAAGGAATAATTGTTGAAGGTGTCTTCGGCAGAAATGTTTTCCCGTGCAATTGAGAGGGGTAGGCTTGCACTCATCTCAGTTAGTGCTAAGCCAGTGCTTAAAATGTCACGTGACTGTAGCAGAGGCAAGTGTGCCCTCCATAGCCCAAGCGCTGTTGACTTCCCACACAGCGATACTCAATTCAGCAACCTGACTTCAATGGCTTTGCGAGCCGCGTGCTCTTAACCACTCCGGCATCGGATCGTGTAAATCAACCCCCGAATCCCCGACACACCTCCTTGCAGGTGCCCGTGACGACGGAGGAAGGGCGCGACATGGCCAATCGCATCAACGGCTTCGGCTACATGGAGTGCTCCGCCAAGACCAAGGACGGTGTGCGCGAGGTGTTTGAGATGGCCACGCGCGCCGCCCTGCAGGTGCGCAAGCGCAGGAAACGGCAGGCGTGCTCCCTGCTGTAAGGTGGAGAGAGGGGAGGTCTCCACTCACGCCACCTCCACCAAGGTCTACGGCGGCCACCACCACCACCACCGCCGCCGCCGCCGTATTGCCGAAGCCTCATCTGTGCATAAGCTCTGAACCTGGGGTGCAAAAGTTCACTCTTATCGAAAGCTGCGTTAGGAGTAGCTTTTTTTTTATTTTAAGGACGTGGAAAAAATCGTGCTTTGTTGCTAGATGACCGAAGAACGCTCGTTTCGCATTCGGTGTTGAATAGGACTCCGTCTTGGAACGATGCGACACGTCCGCCTGACGCTAAAGCCAGAATAGCTCTCTTAGGCGGTCATCTCCTCTTAAAGCCTGGGCTGGGGTAACAGCCCTTCAATAGAACAGCACTCCGGAGCGCCCTGCGCATTGATGGGCAGTACCCCTGGTCGCGGCATCTATTGCACACAACTGGTTGCGTTTGTTTAGAACGCAATTTTTTTTTTATATATATATACACGTGTACAACTGGATTATGTTTCTTACCTGCGGCAAATTTTGCTGCATATTTTCAAAGCGCACCATCTCATCTTAAATTGTAAGCCAAAATATCCTCCATTCAAATGAGCTTCGGGGCCACGCGCATTGAGGCGGCCCAAAACCCATCGACCGTAGATTCACATTTCGATGCCGGGAGGGGCCAATAACACCATGGACTGACCACTGTTGACTTCCCATTAAGTAGTACTCATTGGGGTATCACCCACAGATGAATGAAGCATGTGAAACTGTTCTTGTGCTTCGAGGATGAATATACGATTCAATGTAGAGTGCTGAATATGTCTGCTGTAGCACAAAGGGGGATGATGATGATGTACCCAAACACCACTGTAATCCGCGTGTTTTCCCCAATATAATTATCATTGAAACCGCACAAATTAACAGCACTTAGGTCTTGATTTAAAGCTTTCGTGACTGCAGTAATTCATATTCTTAGTTTTTTCGGTAAAGTCACGTTGAAGAGAAACAACAAAATAACAAAATATATATAAAACAATAAAAAATTCTCACGACGTTTCGACCATAACTCAAACGGTCATCATCACCTGATGATGACCATCATCACCTGATGATGACCGTTTGAGTTATGGTCGAAACGTCGTGAGAATTTTTTATTGTTTTATATATATTTTGTTATTTTGTTGTTTCTCTTCAACGTGACTTTACCGAAAAAACTAAGAATATAGCACTTAGGTCGTTAGTGTAAAGATGGCTCATGCCAAATCCAGTTCCTGCGACTTAGGGGCCATCCATAAATGACGTCACGCACCTGGGGGGGGGGGGTTGTCAGACATTTGTGACGATGTGTGACGAGGGGGGGGGGGCGGGGTTGAGAATTGTGACGTCACATCAAAATTCGCAACTTAAAAAAAAATATAGACAACGCGTTCTACCTAAATAGACTTTTTAATAAATGTTTTCTCCTACAACATCAGAGTGCAGCGCCACATTAAATACGCACTGCAATGACAATAGTTGAAAGCGATTTTAAGCATGTTTTATTTTTGGGGGGGGGAGGGGGGGAGAGATTTGTGACGTCATATTTGAGGAGGAGGTCTGACTTTTTGTGACGCCGTGTGACTAAGGGGGGGCGGTGGCGGGGGGGGGGGGGTCAAAAATCGTCCAAAATCGCGCGACGTCATTTATGTACGGCCCCTAACCACATGACCGAGAATAGAAGCCGAGCCACCGCAGTTGCGAGTTAAAATTCTGCAACTTGCTTAGCCACTGCTCCCTAACTCGGCCATTACACACCGTGCGTAAGTTAGGAAGGTAATCGCCTGCAGTATCCGCCACAAGAGGCTTGCGCGCCTTCATTTCCACCCACTGCACGTTTGTTTTGGCAGGCACCTTGAGCTCGCCTTTTTGACGTCGTTGTGAAATATGCCGGGCGAGCGTAATCTCCTTAATCTGCAACGGCCCCGTGCCATCGGCGTCAAATGTCGCGCCACAAGGGATGGCATCACAGTTTTTGTGAGTTTTGTTCTTCGTTTCCGCATTATTTATTTATTTTGCGCAGTGCATTTCTCGAGCTGCGCCCCCCAATAGCCGTTTGTCAAGACATTTTGCGGTGAAACACCAACACTTAACAACGTATATCAGAGGGTGCTTTAATTGTAAGATGTGTAGATTACAGCTTTGAGTCGATAAGAAGAGAGAGCCTTTTATAAACAGGATTTGCATTGCATGATTCCAGTCATCTGGAAGCACGTGTCCACATTGAAGATGTTTTTTTTTTCTTTACAGTGCACCAAACATCTCAATTCCTTTGCTGTGGGTGGTACCGGTATTTCTTATTTTTACTCGACGCAATCTTAATGGAGGGGGCCCTTTCTCAAATGACTCCACACAAAACTGAAAGCCGTTCACTCTTTGGGCCGTGCCAGCTTCAATTTGCGAAGTCGTTGAGCATTTTAAATTGATGGAATATGGACATTGTATTTATAAAATATGGAACAGACAGTGTAGGCTTTCTACACTGTTCTGCAATTGATGGGGTCCCATGAAATGCAGCCTTTCCTATACAGGTTGTGAAAACATGAGGTATCTGAAGCAAGATCTGCGAATAGGTTTACATTCGGGGGGGGGGGGGGAAAACAATAACTGCCAGCATTTAAATCTGCTTTATATGCTGCCGTGCATTTCACACCGAAACTGGCAGTAAGCACTGCAATGGGTGGGGGGGGGGGGAAATGCACATACTAATTAAATATTTTGTAAACACAGCTTGAAGTATTTTTGCTTCCATAAGTGGTACCAATTTTTGCTGTGGCCCATAGACTAACAGACGAGAGGTATGTGCGCACACAACCTAATGCCTTGCATATATCCAGTATACCCGTTGCTTTTTGGGTCAATTCACACTCGTTAGCCTCATTACGTGTGGAGAGGAATTCTGCAGCCTGCTCTGTGCATGTTGAACTTCTTTTTGCACCGTACGTAGACAACCGTGCTCATCGGAGGCGTCCTGAAGAAACTGCCGCAACATCGCTTTTTCAAACATCACTGGCGTCTCGAACCTAAAACCTGATCCGAACGGTTAGTGCACATTATGTGACCTACGTACAAACGCTACCGCATACGAACGCGATTTAGACCCCATGAAGTGGCTGCCTAGGTTTCACGTCTCCGTCACGTCTTTGGGGCCCCAAGGCTTTACACGTCTCTTAGTTATTAATAAGACTGTTTCGTGGCTGTAGAAACGAATGGATGCGTTTCTCAGCGATTACATTAAAGTTAGACCTACACTTCATTATGTAAAGATGCAAAAAGAATCGTCTAACAATCGTCGTTTTCCCATCGATTCCCATGTCAAGAGCGGAGTTACGTTTCAGCCCCAAAGTCTTCCACTCGTGAACAAAACGTGAGAAATACAAATAATAATTTTAAAATAAGGTAATAAAACATCAAATGTAACACTTACCGCAGATGAAGAACCACAGTGCGCGTTTGCAGGTGCCTTGTCCTCAGCGTCTGTACTGGACATCTGTAAATTCAAATTGCTCGCGATAGCAAATTCTCGAATAACGCTCGTTAAGCGAGACACGTGTTGAAATAATAACCCGATTACAAGGCTGCTTATGTGACACTTTCACAAGTGCAGGGACCCCTCTACTTATGAACATTCGACTTAGGAACTTTCAGACAAACAAACAAACCTATGTCCAGTTGCCTGTTCAGACCGAGAGTCGTAAGTTCAACCGCCAAGCAAAAGATGGTGGTGGCATCTACATCTGCGGAACATGACGAGCCATTGGCATCTACAGGAAATTATACAACTTTTAAAGCAATTCCTCTCCCGTGTTTAGTGTACACGCCGTACAACGTGCTTGGAATCGGCAGGAGTAAAGTTGGACTTGCAAAACAATTGGACTTACGAACAGACCTGGAATCTAACTCGTTGGTAAGTAGAGTCTCTGTGTTGGAAGACTATCACATAAATAGCCTGAGAAGATAACATGCGACAAAACAAGTGTTTTTACTTGTGGAAGTGAATTATTTTATTGGTCAACATCTACACCGCAAATAGAACAAGGTGCTCTTTGGCGATAACTATTTGAGATCGGGGAAACTACGTTACGTGTGTCACTATTTAATTAGCCCGACATTTATTGATATGCTAGAAATAGAACAATTTTTTGTATCGAATAGCAATGTGGAGATCGTGGTCCGATTTCCTATAGTTAGCGATGCATTCTTATGCCGACGACGATTTTTCTAAGACAACGGATTTAATGCGAGGCATGTTCAAAAAGTCACAGGAACAACGGAGGGCGAAACCAAGCAATTTGGTGGATGCATAAATAAAACAACAAAAAAAACTCAACACGTTCATCAATAACACCGCAGCCTTGAAAGGAAAAAAAATATTTACTCGGTGTCATTTCAGGCAATGTAATTTCTTCATCGTGAAAAAAATATATTCCACAACTCCACGACATGTCATTTAATAATTGAGAGTAACGTGCATGTATTCATTCGGTGCCTGAGTCCATCATTGACAACATTTCTGTAATTATTATTACATCAAGAAAACATTTAAAATACATCACGGTCATTTTTTTACATGCACGGTAGTATATGGGCTTTGCTATCGTGCATTAATGTGCCATGCGAGGGCTTTTCTCAATTTAGTTTTGTGCTGGGGAGAGGAGGGAGAGGGGGGGCTGTTCAAATGAGGAACATTTTACAATGACCGCCACGAATGCACAGCAATCAAATCCCATCAAAGCTTCGTTGTAGTGGAAACGTAATATAGGAATAATAAAGGGCATTGCTGAACAATCTTTATTATGCATGTCATATGTGTGTCAACCACTTATCAGTGTTGATTTGAAGGTTTCGTGACTGCAGGAATCCATACTCTTTGGTTCTTTCGGTAAAGTCACGTGGGCAGAGAGAAAATAAAATAAGTCACGACGTTTCGAAGGCAACACAAGCGCCCGTCTTCAGGTGAAAATCGCGACATCTGCGATGTCTGCAGCGAGCAGCATGATGTCTGCTCACTTATCAGTGCTGCCTAGCTTATAACAGACCAATTTCGACCTTACTGGTCACCCCGTGCCCCCTTATACATCTCAACGTTCATCCTACAAAGTCCCATCACAAGGGAGAAACACAAATTAATAGACAATTTAATATTCTTTGCCCGTATTGAAACTGCTGTACGCCTTTATGGACCTGAAAAAACTCAATTTCCATGCACAAGCATACGGGGCGAACCGTCTGGGTTGACAGCTTGTGGCATGTTGAGGTATGGACCAGGAGGGGGTCGGCAACTCCGGGGCCCCATGTGGCTCTTTAAAGGACCGCTTTGTGACGTCGGTCACGATGCATTAATGGCTCTTAAAATTTGTGGGATTTTTTTAAAAACGAAATTCTTGGCTTTTTTCCCGCTACTGGACCCCCTGGTTGGTAGTGAAAATAATTGGGATCAATTTGTCTTTGTGTTGGTGATAGCCAGCGGGTACGAACAATTTTATTCTAAGAGTTGTGGCATTTACACGAAGCGTTGTGTAAGCTACTGCATTGTATTAATAATGAATGAGATATTTGAGTCATGGTGACATTTGAATGTAGATTTTCTTTTTTACATTCGGTTGCTTGGCATTTGACACGATCTCCATTTTATTTGACCCCAAAAAAAACGTTTTTACTTTGGACACCTTATGGTATTTGTTAAGGGATCAACGAGTCGCCCTCCACTCTCCGCTGTAGGCCTGCTGCAGAAGAACAACGGTGAACCGAACATATTTAAACTCACGTTTTGTATACTCTTTGGTTCTATTCGGTAAAGTCACGTAAAAAAAAACACAACAAAAAATTCACGACGTTTCGGCCACAACACAAGTGGCCTTCATCAGGTGAAGGGACCAGACTTTCTAGAGGACAGCGCTCCAGCGCTGTCAAGAGGACTGTCTAGAGGACAGTGCTCCAGCGCTGTCCTCTAGACAGTCTGGTCCCCTTCACCTGCTGAAGGCCACTTGTGTTGTGGCCGAAACGTCGTGAATTTTTTTATTTTGTGTTGTTTTTTTTTTACGTGACTTTACCGAATAGAACCAAAGAGTATGGATCCTTGCAGTCACGAAAGCTTCAAATCTAGAATTCACATTTTGTAGTATGATAAAAGTGTGTAAAACATTCGTTTTAGTGCACACGTGCTTGTGACTTTTTGAACGTGCCCACATTAACCCAAATGTAAATAGACATTGCAGCAACAAAAGTATCTATTTTGATGTGTGTTGAAATAGGCAACTGTGGCTTTGTCAGGCCTATTAATATTT